CAAATAAATCTAAACTTTTTACGCAAAATTATAAAATTCATTTATCCAAAAATAATTCTGTCAAATTTTTTTTAATATTTCTTTTTATTTTAATTAATAATGGTAGAAAGGTTTCTGAATTGTTAGTTATGCTTATATCTTAATGCCCATTTTAAAACCGTAATTAATTTAAGGTACGGTGTGTATGCTTCCCGATAAGACGTTTAGTCTGAATTCGCGCTCTAGCTAGTCGGGAAGGGGTTAACATTTCGATTTATCATAACTTCTTATCAGCCAATAATATGGTATTAATTGTGTTTATAGTGGACAGAAAGAAATTAAAACATGTATTGACATATAGCACAAAGTTCCCATTTTAAATTGAGCATTCCAGCTCCTAGGAAAAAAGTCAAATTTTCGATAGAAGATTATTCCTATAAGCAATAAATTTTATTTATAGTGGTTAGAAAACGAATAAAACACATTATACATGAACACAGGCTACATGAATAATTATATTATCCTGTCTAGAAATTAATGTGCTTGAGCTAATTGGAAAGTTACCGAAATTTAAATTACAATCTTCTAGCCTTAAATAAACTAGAAAGTGAGTTAAGAAAACATTATAAATGCCACGTTTGGCAAAACTCAGATTCAAACTATAGTAATACACAGTTTAAATTTTAAAATCCTGATAAGTAGTCTGGACCATCATAAAACTTTTACTATGGATAAATCTCCAATTTGGGAAATATAATTTTTATTTGCTGAGCTATATTTTTATATTAATGCAAGTTTATTAATTACAGTTAGTATTAATCTCATTAATCAATAGTTATGTAAAGTGTACTTTTTTTATCTGCAATGTGGAACTATTTACTTGAATATATAGACAATTCGTACATCCAAAAAAAAAAAATAATAATAATAATAATGTAAAACAGTAATAGCAATAATAAATTAAAATATTGTTAATTAAATTTAAATTATAGCTTCAGTGTTTACTTAAAATTTATTGAAATTAAGAAGACATCATAATTACCATTCAATGTCCCTTAGGTTGTGTCGTTCCAAACATAAATTTAAGTTTCAGATTCCTAAGTTAAATGTTAATATTAATTGAGATTCTTAAAAAAGATAAATAACAATACGCAGATTAAATGTTTAATAATGAAAATGAAATGCAATCAAACGGTGTACCAACTTTTTTTTTTTGTTGCAAAGAAAAGTAAATATCTTTAACTGGAAACAATATAACAGAATATCAATAAAACAGAAACTCCAATTTCAACTTTAATCGAGGAAAGTAATTCCAAGAGTGCAAATGATCACCAGCAGTAATATTAGTGTATAATATATATTAGTTATATTAGTTATATTATATATCAGTAATATTAGTTGCGTATGACGTAAGCAGCAGTTTTTAGGACAGCATTATGGGAGGGAGGGGAATCAGGTTTACAAGAATTTTCTTAAGTGAAATTTAGTGAGATTTTTTTTTCTTTCCTTTTTTTTATTATTTTTAATCGAAAGAGAATTTTGAAGTTTGAACATTAAGCATTACCTCAAAGTTTCAGTGCAGTAAGGCTGATAGAAGTTTCTCTAGTTTTTCAACGAACTTTTTTCAAATTTTATTTATTGCTTTTCCATTTTAACTTGCTGTATTTTAGATGTATAGTTGTTAGCTAATACAAATAAGATGTTAAAAGAAAGAGTAGAGATTTAAAAGAATATCTTCAGATTTTTTAAGCGACTTGAGTAAATTTTAATTAAACAGACATTTATCCTCCCCCCCCCCTCCTTTAGAAAAACGTGTTTTTCTTTATATCACTTTTACATTTTTTTTAATACAAATTTTTTATTTTCAATAGTGCTTTGTTGAAAATGTATATAAAAAAATTTTTCCCTCTAAAAAACTGATGCAAATTATCAGCAATGGTTAAACATTTACGTACCTGATAACTCATGAACTTTTTAGAGAAAACATTTTACTGTACAGAAAATTGTTTGATTGTTAGTTTGACAAATTTATTTAAAAATTATTTGTATAATCTAAGATAATAATTTTATAAATAAATAAATTTTATTCTTTAAAAATAAAATAATCAGCATTTATAACTTTTTAGTTTCAAGGTTAAATTGTAAATAAAGTTATAAAAATAAAAACACTATATGAATAAAAAATAAGATATATAAACATACAGATACATCCACTAATGCACTTCATATATTTTCAACTCTACCAAGCGAAATAGAGTTGAATTCAAGCTAACACAAAAACTGCAATTGATATTATTGAAATTATATACAGTGTGCAAAAATTAAACAGACCATCCTGAATAACTTTTGATCTAATGATCAGATCTTCACGTTCTGGGACTCAATCTAAATATTTCGAGGGGATAACCTCAAAAATGCCAATTACCTACTGCAAACGATATTTTACGTTACGAAATCAGGCACAAAATCCTGCTTTCTCTAAATAAACATTTTTTTCCCCCAACGGATTTGGATTTCTGACCCCCAAAATATAGAGGTAGCCGCAATCAGGGAAATATGGTCTAAATAGTTTGGACGGAGGAGCGGTCCAACGGTTGATCCCCATAATGCTAATTTTATTTTTTGCGTATTTCACCATATTTCGAGAACTTTTTAAGCAAATTGAAATATATTTGCACACTATTATGAAATTCGTTTATCTATTATGTTATAGAAAAAGTATATTTTAGTAAATATTTTTATTATTATTTATTATTTTATTAAGTAACAGTCGGAAAAAATTTAAGTTGTGAGGTATGTACTTCTTTACATCCTTTTGAAATTGGTAATTTTACATGGCAAAATACAAGATTTGAGCCAAATCTGTTGAATAGTTTCTGAGAAATCGAATTATAAATACACACGCAGGAACAATTCGACCGATTTAACTCAATTTTGTATTTTGCCAAGTAAAATTACATACATTAAAATTTAATAAAAAGTTGTATGCCTTACAATTCAAAAATTTTCCAGCTATTATTTAATAACTTTATAAAAAATAATAAATGTCTACAAAAAAAAAAAAATTTGCATGCAATTATCTTTAGATAAACGAATTTTAAAATTATGTTCAAAAATTTTTCAACTTGTTTGAAAGGATCTCGATATATGGCGAAATACGCAAAAAGTAAAATTGAAATTAAGGGATCCAAACTTTGGATCGCTCTCCTGATCAAACTATGTGGACCATATTCCTCAAATTGTGGCTATTTCCTATATTTTGGGGGTTAAAAATCTAAATGCGTCTGAAAAAAAGGTATGTTTATTCATAGAAAATAAATTTTTGCGCCTGATTTCTTAAGTTAAAATAGCGTCTGCGCTAATTAATTAGCATATTTGAGGTCATCCCTTCGAACAGTTAAGATTGAGTCATAAAACATGAAGATCCGATCATTAAATCAAAATTTATTCAGGGTGGTCTGTTTTTTGTTTTGCGCACTATACAGCGAGTTTTGCGTGCAAAAAGTTTTTAAATTCACTCCAAAGATATGATGAAAAAAAGTTATGGTTCTAGGCTTTGAATCTACCCAGCTTTAGAGCGGATACCAGCTTGTCAGGGAAATAAAAGCGGAAGATGCGCAAATGCTGATTTTATTGTCACCATCACGCCGTTAGTCACAAAATTTTTTGTATAATTGTTTGTTAGTCACGAATTTTTTGTATATTTTTTGTATCGAATATTTTAAATAAAATTCTCTTGGTGCAGATATTTTATTGCTATACCATAATTAGGTCTGCATTAAGGTAAAATGAACAAGAAAAGGCCATACATTTTAAAGGAACCACTGCGTATAGAACCCCTAAAGCCAAATTTGAAAAAAAAAATTACAATTTCTAAAAAAGAATATTGAAGATTAAATTGAAATTTTTTTTAAATTTTATTCATTTTTTTAATGAGATTCTTCGAATGAAAAGTTTCAAAAAATTAACGATAACTTGTATTTGTTGTGTCCACATTTTCTTAAAAAGGCAAAACTCGAAAACTGCTAAAGTAATTCTCGTTATTACAGGAAGACGGGGTAAAGCCGTTGACTAGATATGATTCAGATTCAACAGAAATGTTTTCCCAACGTTTTAAATCTAAACCGTGATTACGAGAAAGCTTTAAAAAAAGGTTTTCGCAATGTACTTTCGCAGACCTTAGAAAACAATCCAAAAACATGGTCTTATGCTCGTTTATTTGCTTTCCCTTAATGCAAAATATTTTCGAATTATTTATCAATATTTTCGCTGGAAAGGTTAATATTTGCCTTATTTCGTTTCCTTGGAAAAAGGTTTCAGCTTTATATTTCCGCTTACCTTATCATGACAACAAGCAAAAATGAAAAAATAAAGGTTGCCATTTGTTTATTTTGTAACCTAAGAAACAATATTTTTTTAAAAAGCTTTAAAAATCATTTAGTTTTCCTTTTAGGATAAAAGGTTGGAAATTGCAATATTTTTGATTTATTGAAAAAAGGTTTTTACTGCAAACCTTTTCGTGTCAATGAAAAGAAAATTCAGGCACAACTTTGCCGTAAGGTTACATGCTTTCTGGGTTTGAAGTGAAAATTTGTTTTAGTTATTTAGATATATATTGTTAAAAAAGGAGACATGGCTGCTAGATTTTGAATAACTCGATATTTCGGCAGTCCTGATATGGCCCCTTTTCATTTGCTTATTACTGTTTGTTCGTGTTGCAAGCTGTGCACCATCTCACGTTAGTGTTTGCATATTGTTCGAGGAGCAAGATTAAGTTTAGTAATAAGTATTCAAATACCACGTTTGCAAGAATCTTAAGACGCAATGATCACGTTGTAAGCCAAATGGCTTTAAAATACACCGGAAATAGTAACCCGGAAGTATAAGCGGCATACAGCTTGCAGCGCTTTCTAGTGTAGTTCTAATATTCTCTCCAGGAAGCGAATTATAAAGACAGAGCCTTCTGTCTTCATTTTTTCATATGTAAGCTAAAAGCATAATACTGAAGCGAAACGTCAAAATTTATTATCCTTCAGCATTCTAGAATTTACAGTTTATCTGTTTACAGTTTAATCTGTTTGTTCAGTTGTAGTCAATATACAATTTCATTACCAGCATCTTCTCCCATTTAAAAATGTTGATAAAGTTGAAAAAGTGTAAGCTGTTCAAGCTGGAAAGTAGATGATCGATTATAAAATAAAAACAAATTCGTTTTGCTATTATTTCCAGAGGATACAAATCTGAAACACTTGGTATCATTTTTGGATTTTATAAAAAAATTGTTTAGTTATAGCATGGGATTGCTAACAATTTTAAAAAAAATGAAGCAAAAAGAAAAGGAAATGCGCCTTTTAATGCTGTATCTTTGTAGTTTAATCTGTTAAGCATATTCCATTCCATTGATGCTAAATGTATTAACATATTTTCGTTATTTGTGTTGTCTCAAATTTATTACTATAAGCTGACCAGCGTCCTCCTTGTACTAAAACACTGTTTTAAAATTTCTAAACGGATATTTGATAACTCGGTGTTTTATATATCCAATTTAATAATTTGTGAGCAGAAATCGCTTGCAGAGATTCTCTTACAGAAATTTCTTTTTAAATAATTGGAAACAGTGAGTTTTTATGTATCCGTTTAGCAATTTTTTTTTAGTATTGGGAAAACGCTGGTCAGCTTAGTTACTGTGCAAGTTTATTTTCATGGCTTGATAAATATATACTGCTCCATCATTTATCATGATCAATATTACTTCTAGCTTGAATTATTAGCAACTGCTTAAGCAATCTATTGCTAAAATAATGTGTAATGCATTTGAATCTCTAATTGTTTAATAGTAATTTGTATTTGATATTCTTTTCAATCTTGGAGGTATTTCCTTATACTACGCCAACTACTAAATGGGTTTAAAACTTGTAAATTTTTAGAAAAAAATACATGGGCAAAGAATCGCCTGGTGGGTAGCAACGAGTTGAAACCTTCAAGTTGGTCAATTACTGTAAAATTTTTAAATTTCTCACAGGCTAAGATTTGGATGATTATTCTGCCATGGATCATGATATGAAAAAATCTTCCTATGGTTTTTACGAGGAATTCAAATGTGTGTCAGTTCAAGTATAATGTTGCCCTTATTGTTATACCATTTCGGTAATTTGAGCATTACCTTCCATGATAAATAAGAAAATTTCCGTATGCTAAGCCAAGGAAAACAACAGGTTTTGGTGACTCCTAGGCACTGGTTTGCAAGAAACTAAAAAGAAATGAAAATCACAGACCGTAACCAACTCGAAAGGTATAACCTGTACCCACCAATAAGCGAACAATTTCCTATTTTTTATGAATTTTGCAAGTTTAATTTAATTAATTTCTTTTAATTGAACATACAATAATTTTTTATTCTTATATTATGGGTTATATTCTTGCATTTTGTTAAGGGGGACGTGCAAATGTTTTCCTGCTTTGCATTTGTAAATAATCATCACAATAAAAAAAATCATTAAATCGTAGAAGTAATCGCCCCAAAAAAGGATCAATGACAAAATCATGCCAATCGGATTTCTCAAATGCATGTTTTGTTTCGAGATTAAGCTGTTGTAATATATAATATCGGATTTAAAAACTATGGAGAAATCAATAACTGCCAAAAATTCAATAGAATTATTGCCCTAAAAAGTAAATACTCAAATGCACATTTCAAATTTTCCATATTGTGTGAAATATATAAGGATATTTAGAATCATCATGAAAATCAATAACTGCCGAAATGCAATCGAAACATTACATCAATTTACGATACTATTGGCGTAAATTGAGCGCTTCAAAAAGTTATTATCTAAATGCTTGATTTAAATATGTAAATTTCTGCAGAACTCTGTAACGTTCTGCAACAATGTCGACGTGTTGCTGCGATTCTGCCTTGAGGCGTATGGTGTGTCATATGTTATTCAGCTGAATAGCCATAATATTTTAATTATGTAGCTGTGAAAAAAAATTACATTTTTGCATTGGAATATTTGGTAAATTATTCAATTTTCATTCGTTTTCCCATCTCTGTTATAAAATTTTGGACCTTACATATTCTAATCAATGAGACTTTGAGATTTCCATTATATAGAATGAGTATTATAATTTTGAGTTTGATAAAATCTTTTTAATTGCTTGTGATATTTTGATTAATTTCCCACTCTTGTTATGAAAACAATTTCAATTATTTTAATTAGTGTATTAATACTGTTACAAATTGAATCCTTAACAAATTGTTTAGCGGACTTGATAATGCTGGCAAAACTACCATTTTGAAAAAATTCAACGGTGAAGATATTAGTGTAATCTCTCCAACATTAGGATTCAATATAAAAACTTTGGAACACAGAGGGTAATTTATTTTATCTGACTTATTTTCTTAATGAGATATGATTATTTTTTATTGCTTTATTATATTTTATTGCTTCATTATCTTTTATTACTCTATTATCGTTTTTAAATCCAAATCTAGTTTAAAAAATTTTTATTCTTGAAAATACATGCATTTTTTTCTTATTATCTCTCACTATTATTAATGTTATATTTTAGTTCATTTATTATTTATTAATGATTTATTTTCCTTCTAATTTGATCATTTTTGGTACTTTTTTGTTAGCCAGATGCAAGCAAAAAGTTGCCAAGTCATCAGGACCCAGGCAAAATTAAATTATAAAAACAAGTTCATCATTTATGTTAAAATTTATTTTGTATGTTGATAAATGTTTTCAGTTTTGTGTGACAGCCATTTTGTTTCGGTTTCTGGTGTAAGTCGTCCTAAAATGTTACCAGAAAAGAATTGTTGGATTGATTTGCACCTGGCTAAAGGAAAAGTATCTTGCTTTTCTTTCGGATACAATTTTATCTGTGGGATGTTATCTATCATTAACTTATTTCTAATTTGAATATTTTTTCTTCCATACTCGCAGAAAACTAACCTATAAACATTACCAAGGCTACAACAGCCTGTTTACTTAACTTTCTAGTAGTTAGTAGTCAGGGGTCTGTTTAGAAGAAATTTGGGTCGGTTAACGGACCCTTCACAAAATATCTTTTCATAAAAATGATCCCTTCACAAAATATTTTAACTTAAAAGCGAACCCTTCACAAAATGATTTTTCTTTTAATCGGACCTTTTACAAATTTGTTTATCTTCATTATTGTTTTGTTAATTGAATAAACCCTTCCCAGGGCAGAAAACAAGAAATATGGATATAAATGAATTAAGTTTTGTCTTCGGCAGATGATTCTTCCATTATGCATCCGAAATGAATATTCTGAGTTCAGCAGTATAGGCTAAGTACCAAATATTTGTATGTTGCATCTCTAATTTAAGAAGCAGCAATTGCTGTTTATTTTTAAAAATGTAATTTTTTTTTATTATGATTTTACAGTGCTGAGCATAATCTTGTATCTATTTACAATTTAAAAACGCATTGAAAAAGTTTTTTGCAATAACCGGACCCTATTTGCACAAATTCATAAAAGCAGGACCCTGGTTGAAAGAATGTGAGTAATTTTTTCACAAAAACGGACCATTCACAAAATGTCTGGACAGACCCCTGGTAGTTTTGCCGAACGGCATTTTTTATTACTAAATTTGGTGATATTTTAAAATAGAAAATATTTATATTGAGTGATTCCTCTAGATTTTGAAAACTGCAGGCTTTAAGGACTCAGAAATCTCATATTTCTATGTCTCTTTTTACTAAAAACTGGTCCCTATTTAAAGTATAAATTTATTATCTCTTTATCCATCTATTAATATTTGTAATTTTTCTATCTATTGATTGACAAAACAAGAAATTTTAAAACAAAAAAGAGTTATACCTAAACAATCAAGGCTTTTATGTAGGACTGATCAAACAACATCAAGGAAAACATAAAAATTTAATTTGTTACTCAGAGTTATTCAGCTATTAATAAAAACGAAAAGATTTTTTTTTTTTGCATACATTTAAAGTTGGTTGAAATTTTGCCTATATAATTCTGGTGATGTGCTATTTTCATCTGTGCTGGTGAGTTAATTTTAATTTGTAAAAATAATTACTGACTATTTTTGAGTTAGTTATCAAACTTTGATGAAATTTTTTGTAGTTTTCAAGCATATTTTTATGATATCATAAATGAATAAATTAGAAATATGTACTAGTCAAAAAATAAATAAAAAATATTAGAAAGATTTTAATAAAAATGTATCAAATTAACTCATGCCAATAAGTGTACCAAGTTGAATATTTTTTTTTTTTTCAGTTGTCATCTACGTGCATTTTTAAAGGTTTCGCATAATGTAAATTTAAAGAATTTTAATAATTTCTGGGTTAAATTTTTCTTTTTTTTTGTCAATTAAATCTGTAGTTCATTTTCCTCTTTTAAAAAGATTATACATATTATATAAGCAATGTATATATATATATATAAGCAATACTAATATGAACTACACTGGTTATCATAAATTAAGGAAAATTCACAAAAATCGCGATAACTCTTTCAATTACACATGGAATTTTATGAAACTTACCCACAATATACAACACATAGTAAGGTATTAAACAACATAAAAAGAAATTATCAGACATTAATAGTAGTATAGAAATTAGCACATGTATAAAATAAACAAATTGGAAGTATCGGTTTGCAATAGAAAAAGTACCTTTAATATGGAATATGATTGCCTCTAGAAGCAATACAGCACAAACAGCGATGTGTGATGCTTTCAATTATGCGGTCTATCAGTTCAATAGGAAGTGAGAGCCATTGCTCTTGTAAAGCAGTTGCAAGCGTGGCAAGGGTCTGAGGGGGCGGATTGATGGCAGATACACGCCTCCCTAGAGCATCCCAAACGTGCTCGATAGGATTCAAGTCCGGGGATCGAGCTGGCCACTCCATGCGAGTAATTGTTTCCTGTTGAAGATAATCATCAACAATGCGAGCTCTGTGTGGTCTTGCATTATCGTCCTGTAACAGGAAGCAATCACCAATTGCCCCGGCATATGGGCGCACATAAGCATCAAGGATGTTGTCTCGATAAACCTGAGCATTCACGGTTCCCCTTGGAAAGACATGGAGGTATGTGCGCCCTCCTAAGGATATGCCTCCCCAAACACAGACACTGCCTCTTCCGTATGCATCTCTTTCACGGATGTTTGATGGATGATAACGGGTCCCAGGTTCTCTCCATATCAAATAACGTCTACTGTCACTTTCTAGACTAAACCTGGACTCATCCGTAAAGAGAACAGGCCTCCATTGATCTGACGTCCAGTGGACATGTTGTCGGGCCCACTGCAAACGGTCTCTCCTATGGCGTGATGTGAGCGGCACGCAAATGGCTGGTCGTCTCGCATACAGACCACCTTCGTGGAGCCTTCTGCGCACAGTTGACGTTGACACCAACCTTCCGGTGGCTGCAGCAAGAGAGGATCTAAGATGTGTCGGAGTAGCGGTTCTATTCCTGCGTGCACTTAATGTCAAATATCGGTCATCGGCACTGGTCGTAACAGTTGGCCGTCCTTGACTGAACCTCCTAGATGCCGAATCTGTGGTTTGAAATTGCCTCCAAAGTCTATGAACCACAGATGGACTCACATTTAGCCATCTGGCCACTTCTGATTGACTCTGCCCTGCCTCTAGTCTCCCGATGGCTCTCCATCGTAGTTCTTCAGGCAAATGATGCCTAGAGGTCATTATTACGAATTGGCTATCTCAGATTTTCAATGTCGCAATCACAGTAAAATTTGTGTGCTTTCTCTCAAACTTGGACTTTTATGCTCCAGGCAGATGACGTAAGCCGAGTGCAGCGCCACTAATTTGCATATTGCAATTTTACTCAGCTACTCTTAGTGGACAACATATGCAAATTTTGCACGGTTTGGCTTACTTTTGAAAGAGTTATCGCTATTTTTGTGATTTTTCCTTAATTTATGATAACCAGTGTATTTTATAGCCATGAAACATTACACATTGTTCTGTGAACAATGCTTAAAAGTTTGATTTGTCGCGAGTGTAGTATGAGGCTAGTATCTAGGATGATATTATTATTTTATTTCTAATTTAAATAGTTTTTATTTTAAAAATAGATGTAACATCTGGGATGATAAAATTATTAATTTATTTCTAAAGTTATTAATTTTTTTTAGAAACAAGTTTAATACTAAAAATATTGCTGCATGAAAGATGGTATTATCTATTAATTTATTATCTGTTAATTATTTATTATTAAATTAATAATCTATTACTTTATTTCTCATGTGATTTTTTTCTGGTGTGTATAAGCTTTATTTATGAGGTGTTGTTATAAGAATTAATATTCGTTATAAATGAATTATTTATCTTTTTTTTTTCTCCTTCACGAAAGTTCAATGTGTGGAATATATAATTATTTTTCTAGTATTAACTTATCTGTTGTAAAAATATAAACTAGCATTATATTATCTGTGATTAATAAATTATTGATTTCTTCTTGATTTGAATTTTCTCCTTCTAAATACAAGCTTAATATCTGGGGTTATTATCTTATTAATGTATAATCTGTTTGTAGTTGATTTTCTTGTTCTAAATTTATTACCTATTTTTAAATTGTTATATAGTATTAAATTATTATCTAGTACAGAGATGTTAACTGTTATGATTTATAATTTTACAATTAATTATTACAATTTCTTTGTCAAAATTACAGTCCTATAAACAAGTAATAAAATTTATGGTTTTTGAGATTTTTCATTATAATCTAAGGTGTGTTTTCTCCCCTTAACTGCCAAAAGTTATGAAATTTTGTTGTTTGCAAACAATGTAGAATATTTTTTTTTCTATTCCTTAAACTATTCTAAAAGCAATAAATAATGAAGATGATGTGATTGAAGCAAGAAATGAAAAGAAATAAGAGCAAACGAACATTACCCCATCTTTCACTTAGCTATTTTGAAAAAGAAAATGGGGGCCAGTTTAAAATTTAACCGAAAACTAGAACAATTATTCCAAGTAATCAATTTACATCATATAAAATTTCACTCACTTTTTAATTTGGTAACTTTGCCAAAGTGTTACTCTTTTAGTAAAATAATAGTAAAATTCATGCATAGTTTTGTTAATATTTTTTACCTTTATAGAATTAAGTAGTGTTTAATCTTAAAATTATGCTAATTTAAATTATAACTATTATTAATTTCTCTTAACCAGTACCCTCTTAATGCGTGGGCAAACCCGAGGGCCCTAAGTTCTCAGCGATCCTTGAGAATCTTACTTTTTATATATTTTTTAAGATAAATATATTCTCATGTAAAAAGTGTGCATTTTTTTTCTATGAATAGTGATTGATTATCATGCAAACAACAATAATTTGAAAAGTTTATCGCTATGAAAGCTTAAAAAGTCATCCAAAATCTATTTCTCTACGTTAAAATTAAGGTTTTTAGGTACTCAACTAATTTCTCATATCTAATTTCTTGACCACCACCAATTCCGTTTAGTATTTATAAATAGTTAACTAAAGTAATAATTGAAAAAGTTTAGAATTGCAGAGCACTATTGGACAGCTACTTTTAAACTGGTTTTGTCTAATGTGCATTGAAAAGTGTTTTAATAACTGACTTTAATAATGTGACAAAATAATTCATGCGTTTTTGAATTTTTTTATTTGTTAAACTCTTTATTTTTTAAATTTAATTATTGTAATTAGCTTTTTGGTTTTGAAAATTATTTTATTATTTGAGGATTGCAATTGCATCTCATTTTTTAAAAAAATTATGCATAGTTTAAAATTGCTTTATTTTATGTGTGTTGCGTTTCTGGAGTGACAAAAATGTCTTTAATTTTGTTAAAATGACTGCATATCTTAAAAATGCTCTATTTTGTGTATGTGAAATTGTTTAGTTCGATTTTAAACAGTATGACATGTTATAGAGCCCCAAAACATTTCCGTGCCAGGCTTGCTATTAAGACAGCCCTGCTCTTAACTATGTTCCTTTCTTTGTGCCTCTGATTATCGATAACTAATTTGGAAAGTTAGCACCTCTGTCTCGTATTATTTTATTATCTATTTTTAATTAGTTATCTGTTATTGATTTATTTTTAATCTGGATTTTTTTCCCCTTTTAGATACAAACTTAACATGTGGGATGTTGGAGGTCAAAAATCTTTGAGATCTTATTGGAGGAATTACTTTGAAAGTACTGATGGTCTGATATGGGTTGTAGACAGCGCAGATAGACGTAGGTTACAGGATTGTAAAGATGAATTACACACATTATTGCTTGAGGAGGTTTGTTTAATTGCTTTTAATCCCTATAAATTATTACTGGTGTGTTACTATTTTATGATTATCTGTCAGGGTGTTTAACAATGTGTAAAACATGGAAAAATAGAAATTTTTCTGACCATCCCTGAAAACGTATAAGTCTGGAAGTTTAAATCACCATTTTTAAAAATAAAAAACCGTTTCGCACCCTCTTTTGCATCCACTGTAATTCTACCATGTAACCAAGGAAATTCTTTTAAATTTTGAGTGTAATTAAATATAATCAATTAAATTAGTTTCATCAATTTGTAAATATTTAGTTAAAAAAGAATATTTCATTATATTATACTAAAGGTGAATGATTAAAAAAAACACATTACTTGGTATGTATAATTATCAAAATTTATGATAGAAATGACTACTTTATAAATTTATATTTTTAGTTTAAAAATATATATCTCTAGTTTATGTCTTGAATTTTCTTTTTTAGTGAACATGCAAGAAAAAGTCTAATGTTGTTAAAGCATCTTACAGCTTAATTTAAATTTTTGTCATTAATTTTATATCTTTTAAAATTTAATAAATAGCAAATTTAAGGAATGTGAGAAAAAAGCTAAAATTTGAAATTTTTGCATAAAAATCTAAAAAGTCAGAGAGTAATACTCCAATACTCTGCCAGACATCCTGATTATTTGACGTTTTAAAAACCACTAGCTTAAGTGTGTATTTTTGACATTCATTTTAAACATTTTATTGATGTTTCGACATTGTATAAATTTGTAAAGAATATTCTACTCAAAATTTGATAAAACGTAGATTTTGTTTAATACAAAGTTACATCTATTTATTTGACTTAATCCTTAAAACTAGACAAACCCCCAGGGAACCCCGAGGCAGAATCGTAATGACACAATGACATTGTCGCAGAATGTTACGGAGTTATTTCAGAAAGTTTTTTTTTCTTCGAAAATTAAAAAAAAATACTTTTCTTTTCCTACAGAAATTTGCACATAATATTTGAATCATGCATTTGAATAATCAGTTTTTGATGCACTCAAGTTACGTAGATAGTATCGCAAATCGATGTAATGTTTCGATTGTATTTTCAGCAGTTATTCATATTGATTTTCATGTGAATTTTAAATATCCCGATATATTTCAAACAATATGGAAAATTCAAATCGTGCATTTGAGTATTTACTTTTTAAGGCAATAATTCTATCGAATTTTTGGAAGTTATTGATTTCTCCATAGCTTTTCAATCAGATATTTTTATACAATATTTATTACAACAACCTAATCTCGAATTGAAACACACATCTGAGGAGTCCGATTCGCGTCGCCTGATTTCGTCGTCAATTTTTTTTCCCGGCTATTACTACTATAGGTTTCATGATTTTTAATTATTTTTTTTATTGTGATATTTATTTACAAAATGCGTGTTCCTTCCCAAAATGCAAGTACATAGTTTTTTTTTTGTAAACGCAGTGCTATTGTTATTTTAAATTAGTAACATATATGTTTGTTTAAAAGATCTTGCAGAAAGATTGCAATCCTAGAGAGTTTTGTTGCACATAGCTCTAAAAAATTCTGCCATGGGGCCAGGGAGTACAACTTTCTTACATAAGCATGAGAGGGGGGTTTGTGATTTGCTGATAAGGGGGAATTTAAAATTGAGAAAAATATGCGAAGAGCCCCATATTTCAATTCAATTTTAAAGTGAAAATAATTTTCTTAATGATGCAAAAGTAATTTTTTTTTACTTCAAGTTATCCTCGCAAAATTTTATTAATAAATACAACAATAAAACTATTTTCTATCTTACTTAGTTTTTTAATTTTATTTAAATCTGAAATAGTTTTTTCCTTGAATTAAAGTAACTTTTAATTTTTTTACTTGAAGTTAGTTTTGTGAAACTGTATTAATATATACAATAAAAATATTTTCCATTTAACTATTATTTATTAATTTGTTTCTGTGCAAATTAAGGTGGAATCTTGTTATCAAAATTTCAGCAGTTCTCCAACTAACTGTAGCACGAGAATTAATCATTGCCAAATGATTGGTTCTAGTATTTTTCCTAATTTATCTAGTGCTTTAGCAAAGATTGAATCGTTGTGAAATAACAATGATTTGATCCTTTTTAGACTGATATAAGCTAAATTAATTTTCATATTAACACCAATGTGACGTTATTGTCATACAAAATTTTTGATCATTTTCCTATTAACTAGAATTGTTATTTCCTCTGTGCTCTCGCAAAAGCTTTGTTCTTCAAAACTACTATTCTTCATGGTCACAAAAATTTATCAAAGTGAATTTATTGTAAATCAAAATTTAACCACTTTTCTTCTAGTTTGAAAGTTCAAATTCTAACTAGAGCTCTGTGCTGCTTTACTTAGTTTTAATTGTTTACGAACCATTACAAGTACTGAGTATATAACCAAGAGGAATTTATCGTTAAAATAAATTTCGTTCACTCAACAACTTATTAGTGTTCAAAACTAAGCTAAAGTTGTATGCTGGATAACAATAGAACTTTTAATTGTTTTTGGACCACTGCAAGTAGAATTTATAATGCCCTAAAATACTAAGTTCAACTGTTGTGTAATTTATAAACTATACCACTAATGTTTATAAAACTTCATATGTAGCTTCTATTTTTCACTTTCAGAGACTTTCGGGTGCAACTTTATTGGTTTTCGCTAATAAACAAGATTTACCAGGGGCTCTAACTGCTCAAGATATAAAAGAGGTAATGATAATTTTGAAATTAGAGACTATAATACGTAAAAACACAAATGAGTAGCTAAAATTACACTTTGAAAATGCAAAAGATACTGTAACAAAACACATTACGAAATATATTGATTAATATTTTCTTTTATCATGGATCATTGTGACACAAAGTGAAAAACCCTGAAATTTTTAAGTGCAAAAAATCAATATCAAGATATTAATTTATATACCATACATGATTTGTATTTAATATAATTTTTTGGAATAAGATTTATAATTGAATTACCTATCAATGAAGAATATCATACCTTTATTTATAGTAACTAATTTAAGAAAAATCTTAGTTCAGGAATCTAGAGGTTCGATTTTTGAAATGGGGTGAATATGAACAGCGATATTACATTTTAAAATCATGTCAATATGTATCGCAATATTGGATTTGAATTGCTATGCTACCTGGAAAATTGGATTTGTAGCAGGGATGCGAAAAGGGATATTTCTTCAAAATTTTCTGCTATTCATTTGCAAATTGCAGATTTAAAACAAAATTGTTTTCTTTGAAGGCTAAGTAAATTTTTGAAATAATTTTCTTTTATATGATATATTTCTATTATTTTTAATGCTATTTTTCTCTATGTAGTTATATTTTTCAATTAAAATAAAATATACAATATAATGTGTAAACAAAAAAGCTTAATTTTTTGTGGCTTACTCTATATTTTGTATTGCACTGTCAGTACATATTAGACTGGAATATTTGTAAAATATGTCTGAAAAGGCTGGAAAAATTAAGGAATTTTATTCTTCTAATTGAATAGCAAACAATTTAGATATTAAAAAAAAAATTACAAATTCTAAAGTGAACAACAGAGTTTAATAAATCAGTTACTCATGCATCATGTCCTGATTTTGTTAAATCAGGGCTCACAAGTTATGAGTTTAACTATATTTATAGGTTCTTTTGAACATAAATGTTCAAAAAAAAATTTCTAAGAGTAATTTTTTATAAGTTAATAATTAATTATCACTTTGGTCAGCTTTTAGAATTGGATAACATAAAAACCCACCATTGGAGAATAGTTAATTGCAGTGCTGTTACTGGAGAAAATCTATTGGTAGGAATAGACTGGATATTAGATGATATAGCAGCTAGAATATTTACTTTGGACTAAGTGCTATTTATTGACCAGGAGCAAAGAATACAGCTTTCACTATATTAGGGTGGTTATAAAAATGTCATGCTTTTTTTATATATATATTTGCTTAACATGAACTGTATATATGTAATTTTCATTGTTAAATAAAAAAAAATTTATAATATTTTGATGTAAAACTTTATTTCAAATAAATTTGATGCCTCTGCTAAGTTTTTATCAAATTGGATATTTTTAGTGATAAGTTTGAAGGCTGTTGCAGCGATGGGATTTATATGGGAGGTACTGATATATCAGTACTTAAAACATTCCAAATGTGTTGACTCTTAAATTTAAACCTGGTACCTAAAAGCACGTGAATTTTTTTTTAAGAAATCAAAATCACTAAATAGGCTTTTAAATTTAATTTTTATCAGAAGGAATTTTGTTTACCTCCTACTGTTCATTAACAGGTTTAAGAATTTTCTAAACAATACTGACTTTATCCTACTATTTTTCAAGTTAATGATAATCGAGTTGAATAATGTGAACTCTCGCTACTATGATATCCCATACAACCCCTTTATTACAATAATGTTTCGTGGTCCTGACGAATTTTCATATGAATTAATGTTATCCCCCTCTCAATATTCTCTGAAGCAATAAACCCCTGTAAAACAATTTTCTCCATTTGTTATTGGTTTTCAAATAATGAAAAAAATATTTTTTTTTTATTAATTTTGCCATTTTTTTTCCAGTCTTTTGTGACAAGAGAAGTCTCACTGCTAATTATGTACTTATCTTATTTCTTTTCACCATAGTGAATGACTTTTGTATTCTGATTTCAATACCCCATCCTTGATGAACATAGACCACCCCTAAACCTTCAATTGTTAAAATTGCTGCCCTTATCTCTGAAGAAGTCACAGATGTAACATTCCTATCTGATTTCATATTTAGCCATAATTACCTCTCTGCAAATTAAATTTTTATATAATATATAATTAGATTTATAGTTAATACATTTATAACATAAGAATTTTAAAAAAATCTTATTGCCTCCCCATAGTATGTAGACGTTTGATATAATAATATATTACAACAATATATTTATTTGGTCCCCAAAATATTGTTGCAGAAAGGTTTTAATATATATATATAAACACATAGTTAATATTTTAAATTTTTTTATTTCAAAGAATACAAATTTCCAGCTTTACAGAAAAATAAAATATCAATACATTTATAACATGATTAATTTCTGATGAATAAAATATATACAATAAATATTAACACTAAATATTGGTTGTCTGAAAACTTGTCTAATACAATTTTAAAAGTTATCTGATTAAACTAGGCATTACAAATGTAAGTATTATAAATAAAAAATTTGCACAAAAAAGCAAATAATATAAGAATTTAAAACAGGATATGTAAAAAGCTGCAGCAAATACAAAATTAGTGAAAATGTGACACTTTTTGCTAGCATACAAAAATAGAAAATCCCTTTTCCCTAATTAAGAAATTCACGAAGGATAACCAATCCCAACATAATGACCAATATGATCTTCTTGTGTCAAAATATCTACTAGAATATCTGCCAAGTCATATTTAGATATCATTCTTCCAACTGGCGCTTCATTTTTGATTTCATAATTTCCTTTTGCAGGTTCCTCTACAAGAAAAAAAAAACATTAATTTTTATCTATTTTAAACCTAGGATGGCAAAATAATGTTTTTAATGAAAAAATTGGATTATTTTTTATATTTATCAATCAAAAGACTGATAAAATGTATAAGCAATGCTATTATTATATGTATTATTAATGCTTATTATTACTAAAATAATTAACATTTCTTACAAAAATGGCTAAAAACTATTATATTTTAACAAACTAATCGCTGAAAAAAATCTATATCCTTTTTTACTCAAGATCAATACCCTTATGAATTTGTAAACACCAAGACTTAAGTCTTCAGATTTCAAATAAAGAATCAACTAATTCAGGAAACAAAATTAATTATTCTAAAGTACACTTAGCAGAATAAGTTCTAATTGTTTAATAATCTACATATTTAATAAATTTCAAAATATATGAATAATATAATAAGTTTTAAATGTAAAAATTGAAGTATAATATAAAATGTAAAAATTGAAGCTCACCAGCAAATTATTTTTCAAAATGCTAACAGTAAATTATTAACTATAGCTGTTGCTGTTGTTACTTTACGTCGCACTAGAGCTGCACAATGGGCTATTGGCGACGGTCTGGGAAACATCCCGGAGGATGATCCGAAGACATGCCATCACAATTTTGATCCTCTGCGGAAGGGATGGCACCCCCGCTTCGGTAGCCCGACGACCTGCGCGCGAAGTCGAGCACTTTACGGTAGCACAGTTTAACGAGGACCAATACCGCACACCCTCGGTCCCTACGCAGACTGATCCAAGTGGTCACCCACCCGCACACTGACAGTAGCCAGTGATGCTTGACTTCGGTGTTCTGCTGGGAACCGTGTCTTAACGATCAGTCCACTGCGGGACATTAACTATAGCTATTCACAGCATTTTTATCTTCACTTGTAACTTTTTTTTTACTTACAAATCTATTTCAAACTTTAAATGTTAGCACGTTATCTCTTTGTACAAAATACGGTTGAAAATAAATTGATACTTGAACTGAAACTTCAATATCAATAAAATTGGACTAAAAAAATCTTTTTTCTATTTAAATCCATGATTTTTCTTTAATCAACTGATTTTTTTTAAATAGTCAGCTGATTTAAATCATTGATTTTTAAAAGAAAATTGATAGATTTCTATCACTATTTCAATCAAGAGAAAGGAATCTAATTAAGTGATTAAATCACTTAAGTCCACTCTATTTTGACAACTATAAAGTAATTTTTATTTTGTTAAAATTAATGTGAACTACCATTAAAAAAAAATGTAGCATATGAAGATGCACCAAATATTTGTTTCTATTTATTTGATATTCTAGGTTTTATTATTATTATCATGATTTGTGTTTGAGTTTACATTCTGAAATTTTACCATTCTGTAAATTCTAAAAGGTCATGAGCCTTAAATCAATTTAAGAAAATTAATACCTGGAGATAAAGTGTTTGCCAGGTTTTGAGAGTTCTTTTTTTTCATTATTGGGTAGCAAGCTTGTGGAGTTTAGTTCATAGTTGTCCAGTTTTGTTTATTTGTCAAAATTCCTTTGTAGTTAAATTCAAAAAGTGTGTTGTATTGTAAAGTTTTCTTTTTTATATTTATCTATTTTTAACACTTATGTCTAAACAATTGAATGGGTTATTTTAGTTTCTTCCACTTTATTCAGTTTTTTTTCTTCCTCTTTTCTTTTGGAATTCTGGAAGAAATGGATTTCTCCCAGCGAAAATGCCAATCCTGATTTAGTTATTTTAAATCCCGTTTGTAAAACCTTTCCCAACAAACATACAAATAGGCAGCTATGTTATAAAAAAAATTATATTCTAATCCAACAATATCTTTTCTAACTGACCATTAGTTTAATTAAGAATAGAAATTTTTATACCAGCAATATGAGGAGGAAGTACTGCAACCCATTCTCTGTCACTATTTTTCAACTCATTCAGCATTCGTTCATGATCCTCGGTCACGGGAATATAAGGCTTTGGAACTTTCTCCCTTGGCCAAAACAGGAAAGCTTAAATCAAAACAATATTCAAACCATCAATAAAGAAAATTGTTACAAATATTGAAACGAGTCTTATAAAAATACAATTTAAAATTTATTTTATTAGGGCAAAGGAGTTTTACATCAGGTTCATGTTCATTCTTTGGTGCACTGATTTCATGAATTGAAACAGCAATCACATTGCAGATGTTCAATAAGGATTATAAAAAAAAAAACTGAAAAAATAAAAATCTTACCAGTCTAATAACAAATTAACTCATAAGTACCTGGCAGTTTCATGAAAATAAGCTATTGTGTCATAATGTTGCCACTTAAGAACTAGTGTAAAGTAAAAAAAAAAAAAAATTCCAGGCATGTTTTTGGATACATAGTAGCCTAAATAAGACTTCATACTTAAATAGCGTAGCTGAACAAGCAAGAGCATCTTGAAAAGCTGATGATCTATCCCTAAATCAAGGAGTACTTTAAACAAGATAGTGGTTCTTGCAATACTTCTTAGAACGCAAAGTACTAGTTTAATATTTTACATTGTGATATTTGCCCCCATAATCTCCAAATCTATAGCCTATGCAGCATTTATAGGAAGGACTTGTAAAAGCATTCCAACATCTAGATCTACAACCATTTAGTCTCATACTATAAGAAAAAGCTCTTAATAACCTATAAATCTCTTGTAGATTTGATACCAAGAATTAAAGCTGTATTTAATGAAGTGATCTAACTAAATTGAAGAGACAGACAGGCTTTATTAAGAGTGGCCATTCAGTGTACATTGGTTTGTTGATTTTTGCCTGTTTTTGAAAAGGACTCAAAATTTAGGGTCAAGGGAATGTAGCTTTAAATAGTTTTAATTATTAAAACTAATTTATTTTCTTTAAATTTTTGAAGTAAAGGAAGAGATGACCCCATCTCATCTAACTAATGCTTATTTTGGTCTTAGGACATAGTGGGGGAGTCAGTATAGACCCTTCGGCAATAAAATATGCTGACCCGTTTTAAACAGAGGCCAGAAAAAATTAATTTTCTTTTTTGTAGTTAACTACAACTACTTCATTACAAAGGTAGTTAACTCAACATTTTGATTACTACAAACTATTTTCAAAATGAAGTTTCAAGAGATGAATTTTGCTGGAAGATTCAGTTTACATTAAAAAAAGCTGAATAATGAAATAAAAAAAATGGTTCAGAATAATAAATGAGCTAATATTTTTTAGAAATTTTTCCTTTCAACCTTTTATGACACTAAAGAAATGCTAAAAAACAATCAAACATTTGTGATCTAACTAAATGTTTAAAACTTAAGTTAACTGAAAAAAGAAACAAAATTGAGCACATTAGGAGCATTATCATTGTAACTGCTGACGGACTTAAGTAAGGTTTTGCTCCAATCAGATTGCAACTATACTAATAGTAAGAGTAATCGCAAGAAACTGCTAAAAACTAGTTTTTTTTTTTTCTCTTTTCGTATCACACTACACTCGCAACGCTAATTTTTTCAAAAAGTAGCTCATTACACTACCAACTACTTAAAAAGTTGTGAATACAGTAGTTTTTTTACTTGCAGTGAGTTATTCTGACTACTGGGTTTAAACTATCAGTTTTTTATTCCATAATCACACAAACATGGTTTTTAAACTTATGGAAGTCATATCTCAATCTAAATATTAAAAAAAAGGAATTGAAGCAATAGGACTACAAATACATACAAGAAATGCAACAGGATACTCTTCTTACATCATTTTCTTTCATGCCTTCAATAATATTTCTAGTCCCATCAGACATGACAGTGGTTGGGCCTGTAAGAAATATGTAGTTTAAAAAAATGTTAACGTACTGAAACACAAATAAAGTTATCACTTAAAATAGAAACCATCTTATAACGAAAATAGTATTACTAATTAGAGCTCAGTAATGTTACAAATAATTGTTTTGTCAATGCTCATTGTTAATTTACTTTACATGCTCATCTAATTCACCAATTTTACCAGTTAAAAACAAAAAGTTAAACTCGTAAAAAAAAAAAAAAATTTAGGCAACTCTTAAAACTTATCACTAATTACACATTTTTAAAACTAGAAACATGCATTATAACTGTAAATAGCTCTTGAAGTATAGATTTATTATCTTTTCCTGAATGAAGTTTGATAACTACAGGGTTATTCATAATTCCCTCCGGGGTTTCTAAGCGTTATAGTAAAAAGCGAAGACGAATATGGCAAAAAAGAACATATTAAATTATTCCGAAAGTATCCAAGTTTTAATTTAAGCAGTTGCCGGTAGATGGCAGTAACATGTACCACTGAAGCCAGTTGCAGTAAAGAAAAGTGGCGTTTACAGGCGGAGGGAATTATGAATAACCCTGTATTGAAAATATTTTTACTATAACTAGATAGTAATATTTACTAATAATATCAAAAAACCATAGCTTTAAATAACTATATTATCTATAAAAAATTATCTGACTTCAATTCAGTAATATTGGAAATCTGTCCAGCAACTACAAATAATAAAATAACTCTCAAATTTTACAATGAAAAACATAATATAAATTTAATTTCTTTAAATAAAAACTAATTAAAGTTATCATTTGAACTCAAAATATGTTAAATGGCAACTTAAATTATTCTATACACCAAACTTTTTTTAAATGATTTGAAGTGCTTTTAAATAAGTCACTTTTCAGGGGCATGCTTAGGGATTTAGCATGGAAAAAACATTGAGGCATTTTATCAGAGTTGTTTAAATTCATGTTTTATTTGTATTATAAAATATATATATTAATTGGATCAATCAGTTTCACTGCCCTTCTTGATACTAGAAATCTTGAGTCATTGATAATAATTAAATAGCAATACGAGTGGAGATGACAATTGTCTTCTTCACAACACCTAGGGGAAAGATCTATTAACACATGCCACATTAACTGACTATAAGATAAATAAAATTTTCTCCTAGGAAAGAGATAGAATTAGGAGTGTAATTTATAAAGAGTTAAAGAAATTTTCCCAACGAGGCAATAAAGTGAAAGGAGACAAAAAAAAACTTGTATCATAACTATATCAACATGTTTCGTCGGCCTGTTCGGTTACCCACTCCTATAACGGCCCTGTCGTTTTTCATAGATAAAGGGTTAAATCATAAGAAATAAGGATTAAATGGAGGTGAAGCCTCATCTTATAGATAGTCCTCAAGAGCAAATAATTTTCGAAAACCCTCATTATTTTAGCTGGAAACAAAAGATAACTTGAAAAAGCTCTTCAATTCCTTTAAAGTGAACACTCTATAATTTTAATAATTTTGTCTGTTTTTCTTTTCTTTAAACATGAATTTCACATAGGTGTGCAGGATTTTTTGGACAAAATATAGTAAGGAGGGGAACAAATTTTTCGGTAGAATATGAGTAGGGAATTGTAAATGTTGAAAATTGCTTTAAAAAAAATATAATAGTTTTTAAAAATGGTGTTGAACAGTTATAATTCAATTTAAACATAATTCATTAAACATTCAATTTATTATGGAATATATAGTTCTTGTTTATATAAGACAAATTACTCTAAACCAGATTTTGAAAACTGAAATATTTTCGACATTTAACTTTTTATACCTTTCTTGCTTAAGATAACTTTTATTAAATTTATTTATACTTATTTTTAAAAGTCTCAAATAATCTCTTCTTTACACAAACCTGAGATTTAAATAATACTATACGCACTTTAGAGCAAGGTTCCCACTCAATTTCAGAAAAAAAATTCCTTGACTTTTCCAGGTATCAGGTAAATTTCAATGAAAATCAATACCATATTTTATCTATGCTACAAAGTTTTTTATCAGAAAATTTTGATTCCTTTATTTGTAATGCCAAGTATTAGATTTTCTATATAAAATAAATATTATACGAGGAAAAAAGCATTTCAGTTTGTCTAAATTGTGAAAATTTTACAATAAATAATTGTAATAGATGTTAGAATTATTTAACTCGAATCTCAACAACTGAGTACTGTTACTGACAATTTTAAGACTGGTTTTTTTTCCAGGTATAATGAAGGAATTTTCCAGGTTTTTGTAAAAAATTGCAACTTTCCCAGATTTTTGGAGTTGAAATAAAATTCTCTGACAATTCCAGGTTTTCCCTGATCCGTGGGAACCCTGCTTTAGAGGTACACGTTTTTCATACAACATGTACCTCTGAAGTACCTGCTCTATATTCTTTAAATCTTAACAGATATAAATACTTACTTAAATCATTCCTTGTTCCTAAAACAATAATGACAGCATCGTGACCTTTGATTGCATCGCCCACGTCTGACTTGTTGAGGACATCGCCTTCAACAACATAATTTGGTTCAACGGATCCTAGCTTTTGTTTATCTCTAACATAGGCAGTAACTTCATAACCTATTACACGATGAAAAAAATTTGAAACTAAATAATAAAATGGCTTCTTTTTTTTTCAAAAATATTTATTAAACATGAGTACAAAGTTGTAGATTTATGTATTACTATAGTAATACAATTTTATTATATAACATATTTTATAACAAAGCTTATCTATTTATATCTTTCATACACAGATATATAATTGTCATAGTAAAAGCTATATGACCCTATATTTTACACATTAATTTTTTTTAATTAAGCTTTTCTTTTGGCAGTATCTCAAAAAATTTTTTAAAAACTTGCAAAATTTTTCTGAATGAAGAGATTTTATTTTGTTTATTTATTTTGTTTATTTATTTCCCCTTTAGCAATATTTATTTTGACACCAAATGGGATAAACAAAATTTAGAAAAACTTTATATAAAAAAGAACAAGGCAAAAAAGAACTTTATATTTTCTCCCAAGATCAGATCAAACGAAAATAATATTCAGAATTTTTTTTTTGTTATGAGTTATACTTCAACGATAAAATGAATTAGTTTAAATAAGACATTAGCAAGATAATATTTGTCAACAATTTGCTCTATGCTGTGGCTATATCCAACACAGGTCACTTTTAATTGGCTTTCTATACAGAATCCATCGTTTATTTAGGATAGGAAGTAGACATTTAAATAATTTTTCTTTATACACAGCCAATTATTAATTCTGTAAATTTCATCTCAAATTATAAGCATTAAAAACCAAATTAGATAAATGTATATCGAGCTATAGAGGAGATTTCCATATCGTGATCTGTGGCAGAATAATCGCCAAGTCTTGGCAACGTCCGGGCAGTGGCCCGTGAGAAACTAAAAAAAACATCACACAAAGGGAATAACTTGAAAGCTATAACTCGTAGCCAACCCCAGGGCAATCAACATGTTTTTTTAAAAAATTGCAAGTTTAATACCTATTTGGCACCTTGGCAATTGCAGTTGGAGCGACAGACCACGATACAGAAATATCCCTGAGCTAAACTCAACTGTTAACGAGTTAAAACTTTTATAAGAACAACATTTGTTAATAATATACTACAAAGTTGAGTAGAAATTTTTCTTTCAAAGTTGAATTAGATAATTGAAATCCAAATCAAGAATTATATGCTACAGAAGTTATGAGTAGGACTGGGCTATAAATCGATGTATCGTGACATATATCAGCAAACCGATACTGCGACTTTCGTTCCAGGCGATGCATCAGAAATCCGATTTAATCCGTCGAGTAAAGACGACGAGCGCAAAATGATGTACCGATATGAGTCACGCAAGGATCTTCTCTTACATTCCGATCCAGACTCGCGTTGTGGAAGACGATGTTCGTTATGTTAAAATGACCTTGATTGATGAGCGGTAAAATCAGAACCAGAGTTTCGAGAACATATATCGTGATCTCGCATGTTCGTTTTCGTACCTCTTAGATTTTTCTTTGTCGGGACTTTATATCGTTTCTTGTAGATTATTTTCAGTTGGACTAACTTCGTGATCGCCGCCGTTACCTTGTTCTGAACGCAATCTATTATTGAAAAGAATATACAGAGTTTCTTCATTAATTAGGGTTTTTTTTTTAACAAAACTTTTTCCTATTTTTAAATGTGAAAATTATCGGAAATCTAATTTAAGGAGCATAAAGAATTAAATTACAAAGTAATTAAATTTGTTAGGTTATTTTTCTACTTTCTTTTAATTTATTAAAAACTTTTTAGATAAAACTTCGAATAATTTAATGGATTTTTATTACTGATTTTAAATTTATAAATCTTGAGTTTTTATTTTTAGAAATAAAGTTAAAACAAAACTAATTTTTTGTCATTTGGATTTGGACACGAGTCAGTCAACTTCGTTTATTCAAAAAAAATATGAAAGGTTTGCGATTTTTATTCTTCTTTTTTTTTTAATCATGGTAGCACTTCGTTTTGTTACAGAGTATAATAGTTTTTTTTAAAATTTTCTTTCAATATTACTAGTCAATTAGGTAAATATATTATAGAATATCACAATTCTTTTGTTTTTATTTTTAAGAAACTTTACCTTACTTTGTTTTTTGATCATAATTCGGTCATTATTCAATTTAATTTAATTATTTATGTAAAATAATAATAATAAAAAATAGTGTTTTAAAAGCGTTTTTTTTTCCTAAAATTTATTTAGCACTTTGTTTTAAGCATACAAATAATTTTTAACGAGCTTATTTTTTAAATTTTCCTTCTATACTGTTAGGTAAATATATTGATAAATTTCAATTTCATTAATTTTTTATCATTTATTTTTTAACTAAGAAAAAGTAACAAAACTTGCGTTTACTTTTTCATTTAGAATTTGAACATTACAATCGAACTTAATAATTATGTAATTATCAATGAGCCATATAATTAATTATATGGCTTTGTTTTTACTTACTTTGTTTAATTACTTTGTTTTTTGATCATAATTCAGTCATTATTCAATTTAATTTAATTATTTATGTAAAATAATAATAATAAAAAATAGTGTTTTAAAAGCGTTTTTTTTTTTCCTAAAATTTATTTAGCACTTTGTTTTAAGCATACAAATTATTTTTAACGAGCTTATTTTTTATATTTTCCTTCTATACTGTTAGGTAAATACATTGATAAATTTCAATTTCATTAATTTTTTTATCATTTATTTTTTAACTAGAAAAAGTAACAAAACTTGCGTTTACTTTTTCATTTAGAATTTGAACATTACAATCGAACTTAATAATTATGTAATTATCAATGAGCCATATAATTAATTATATGGCTCATTTAGTAAAATTATTTTTTATGGCTTTGAACCTTTTTTTTCAAAGTTTCATTCGCTTAAACTAATTGATTTCCAAATAATTCATAAGCCTATTGTTTTAAACTTTCTTTGATTTCTAGTTAAAAGCCTAGTAAAGTATCTAACTTAAATTAATACTGCTTATATCTTATAAACGATAAAGAGGTGCAAATATTTCATTCTGTATCTACACACATTTTTTTAATAAATATATTAAGTAAGATTTGTACATTATAGTCAATTTATTTAATATCTTTCTTAAGCAAAAGATATAAAATTTATAAATTTATTTAAATCAATCTGAGTATGGAGTTTTGATGGAAATCTGACTTACTGTGCCTTACAAGTAAATGAAATTCAAAAATACTATATCGCGATGCAAAACTGACAATGCATCACAATATAAAATTTCTAATAGCGCCCCGTCCTAGTTATGAGCATAGATAAAAATTTTAATTTAATAAAAAACTAAATAATTCCTGGATTAACCAACTAAGCAAATAATAATTCAGCAGTTAACTTTAGTAGATGTTTTCCTTTAAAGTAAAATCAAAATTGGTTCAACAATTTAACTTTGGTGCAACATGGAAAAATATTTTTGAATGAAGTCAAAATCTACAGTCTCCCTTAATAATTATAGATCGTAAACGTGGGAAAATTTCTGTAATGTGATCTGGGGCAAATTAACCACAAGTTAAGGCAACCAACGAGAAACTAAAAAAAAAATAAAAATCATAGAACGGAACTAAGTTAAAGCGTATATCCTGTAGCCACCACGGTACAACTTTTACATGCTTTTTTTAAAAAATTTTGCAAGTTTAAAATCCTTTTGGCACACGAAGAATGTAGTTTGCACTACAGATCACGATAGGGAAACATCCCCGTAAACTTTAACGGAAATTTTTATTTGAAAGTGCAATCATAGAATGTTTGGAAATAGTTATTCAGCAGTAAACTTAGGTGGACGTTTTTCTTTGAACGCCATAAGACCTTCAACACGATCTTTTGTACCAACAGTTTGAGTATAATAAGCCATTTCAAAGGCCAATCCATTATTTATATCAACTTCCATTCCTCTGTTAATTGCCTGCTTGGCTAATCTAAGAGCAATTGGCCCTTGTTGAGCAATTTCCTCTCCTAAGGATATGGCTCTTAGGAAAGCAGAATTTCCGTCCTCGTTTTGCTCCACATTGTGATTCACTAAACCGATTCTGAAAGCCTCCTTACCATCAATTATACGAGCAGTGAATATAAGTTCTTTTGCGATAGCTGGTCCAACAATGCGTGGTAAGCGTTGCGTACCACCACCACCTGGAATGATCGCTAATTTGGTTTCAACCAAACCCATTTTGGCTGAAGATGAAGATACACGTAAATCACATCCAAGAGCGATTTCTAAACCTCCTCCAAGGGCATATCCATCAATAGCAGCGATTGTAGGAACGGGGATCTCTTGTAGATCGGTAATAGATTGGCGAATTTTGGCTACAAACGGGGCAACTTCAGCTTCCGGCATTGCAGCTCTTTCTTTTAAATCAGCTCCAGAACAAAAGACATTTTTGACTAAGCTGTGAAGAATAATTACTCGAACATTCTTATCAAATTTCAATTGGGTAAATGTTTCAGTCAAAGTACTAACAGCATTTTTACTTAAAGCATTTTTAGCTTCTGGTCTATTAAAACCTACCGTAACAATGCCTTCATGATTGCCCGTTAGTTTTTCTACTGCAATAATATTTGAAGTTTGACTTATGCTTCGCACTTTTTGAAAAGTACAAAGGCTTTTCTTCAGATATCTTACTGGGGAGAAAAACATTTTATAACTTTTAAATAACGACATCAAACATCTACAACACACGTGATCATTCTTGAGTACTGGTCAACAGAGCCCTCTATGTACGATTAAAAAAACGCGATACAAAAATCCTTTTAAGTTTAATTTAAAAAGAATAATAGTTTTTACCTTTTTTTAAGGCTGCTTCAACAGTCGCTAATCCTGTGTTACCAGATGCACCGAACACAATAACTTTCTTTATCAAAGGAGACATGTCTGCTGAGAAACAACAAATGGACTGTTTACAAATGCAAATAACGAAATTAATTTAAACAAATCACGGGTGCGGTTTGTTGCAGACGACCTTTGTGCAAAGATCTCTGAAGTGTCATTTTTGATCATTTTTAGTTGATATAAATTTATAATCAGACTGAAACATTAAAAATTATAGTAAAAAATTATTATTTCTCAAATAAAGCATCTCTTTTTCTCATTTTATTAAAAAATTTCTTCATTGTATTTAATTATTTTAATGATGAATTTAATTGGTTGATTGGCAAAATCAACCAATCAAATACTAGATAATGGAGGGTCTCTATCTTCATAGGAATTGGTAACTAATTTTAAACCATAGTTTCTGCTACAGAATGCAATTGGCTTTTGACATTGTGATTGGCTGTTGAATATCACTCTTGGTTGCAAGAATTTGGAAAGTTATCGCGTTTATTGTGAATTAAAATAGAAATTCAAATAATCATGCGCGTCTGTGTTTGCGCATAATCTTGTGTTTGGTGCGTGGCCGCAATTGATTCATTGATGGATAGTGTTTACATTCATTTTCTAAACAACCACTAGAAAAGAGGGGATTTGTGCTTAAAAAAAGAAATTAGACGAAAATATTTACGAATTTTTAGATATTTCAAAGTATAAAAATTAAAAAATTATGTTTCTTTACTATGTTTATTATTTGTTTGAAATAAAACTTTATCATTTTGATATTAAGAGTATGTTTACAGATGTTCTTAATTAATTTTAAATTATGAAGTATTCTCCTATAAAACCTTCTATGGTTAATGTCCGAATTATATACTAGCTCTAGTTAAGTGCCTCTACCCGATATACATTTGCCCGGTATGCCCTATATCAATGTATTTTGAAGGTCAACTGCCACTGCCCAATATGCATTTAATCTGTTCTCCGAACACTGATGTTTCAGCCAATCGATCCCTTGATATTAAAATAGCGAATAAATGAAATAATATTAACGGATAACGTAATATCTAATGGGATATAACAAATATTTCGGACATTCACCAAAGCGACTCTGTGATTGTTGACATTCACCGGTGAAAATCGACATTCTCTTGATTTCAGCCATTCACGGTAACAATTATACTGTAAATTTAACAGAAAGAAAAAGTTGTTATGCAAAGTATTACTCTATGTTGGAAAAAAATTATTATAATTAACACAATTTCACCCTGCACGAACGAATCTGTTAATTGTCAAAGTAGCATAGTTTTTGCGTGGTTCCTACGAGCTTTCAAATGTATTTAAAAATTACCAATAATACTTTGATTTCGTTTTGTTTCGCTAAATAATTTTATTTAAATTATGTATTTTTTTAAAAAAAAATCTTTAAATGATACTTAAAATAACACTTGCATGAATGTGACGTTTTAAACTGTTAATAAAAAATTATTTTTTAGGTGATAAAAAATGACTTTGAAAAATTATATGCTTACTACGCCTGTGCTTTAACGGGAAAAAAAAAGTGAAAACAATAGAAAACAAGAACATTATAAAAATCTGATAATTTAATTTCAGTCACCGTATAGCATGTATGTAATCAAAATCATAAAAGACCAGTTGTATGCCGCGTAGACTAATTAGGGATGTAAGGTGATTATTTGGATTGCTAGATTTTTTAGTTTGATTATTTGGATTGCAAGATTTATTAGTTTGATTATTTGGATTGCTACATTTATTTGTTTGATTAATTGGATTATTACTATTTTCTAATTAATTTTAAACCCATTTATGCTGTCATTATCCTCAACAGTGATTCCTAAGATTTTGATAAAATTCTGACTGAGACATTTATTTGCGACACCAAAGACCAAAACATGAAGTTTTTAATCAAATTGCGATTTCATGTGCCACAAGCATTTTTAAAATATATGAACAGAGTGTTCCGTTTCCTCGTTCTTAATATAAATTGCTTAAATATTTATTAAGAATTTAATCTAAATAGTACGCAATTATAGGTCACAGGCTAATATTTAAGCGAGGAAGTAACAAAAAGATAGTTGGAAACTATCGAATCCTTAGTTAAGAAAAGATGAAGAAACTGTTGAAATTAAATTACAATTGTAAATAAACAGATCATTTTGAGAAAAAGAATTGTAAATAAACAGATCATTTTGAGAAAAAGAAATATTTTAATGAAGATTATAACATAAGACAAACTTAGACGAAAAAAAGAACACTTCTATTAATATATTTTCTATATAATTAAAAATAAAAAGTTGCCAAAATCAAACGAACAAAACAAGTCAGTGCATCAGTCAGGCTGCTTACAACAACCTCGATTTGTTGATTCCATCAATAACCTCCGGTCCTGGTATTTTATATTCTTTCAGAAACGATAAAACCAACTTGATTGTCTAATGATTCTTAAATATTATAGATTGCCTAATGATTCTTAGATATAAGAATCATTAAGCAATCAAATTGGCTTTCTACCGATCTCCTTTCAATTTCTTTCTGTTTCACCCGAAAATCAAATATGCTTCTTTATTTGATTCGCTGGTTTTCACAGATGTTGTTTTTTCTCTCGCTTAAATTTTAATCTGCATGAAATTTATTTGCGGCCTCTGTCTATAATTTCTTTTAAGTAAAATTTTGACTATAATTTTTTTTCCTTCTTTAGAAGAAGTTAAAAAGCTGAAGCGTCAAAGCAACGAATTTTCGAAGAACCATTCTTTTTCAGAAAAGGCTAACATTAACACACACAAGATAATTTTTAAGCTATGGATTAAGAATAATGTGTTTCCCCCTCCCTTTTGCTTAAATTAAAAAATCTATATTCAGAAACCAACTCGTGTACACGTGACCAATATGTTTCTTTATTTTCACAGAAATGCAAATGCATGTCAATAATGCTTCTTCAAAGAAGGTTTAGGGCACTTTCAGTGTGGGCGGAAAAGAAAATCTTTGATGTCAAGCTTATTGTGCTCTCGAAATAGTGTTCAAGCATAGTAAAATCAACTAAATCAGCATCAACTGATAATTTAATTTAATTCAATTCGTAATCAAATACTCTTAAGGGTAAGTGTAAAGCGAAATGTCAACGTAACATCAAGGAATTTTTTTTATACAAAATAAAATATTTTACCAAATTTATTTTTGTTTTAAGTTCTATGAAAGGAAGAAAAAACATTATTTAAATTGTAAAACTTCATTTTCTTCAATAGTCTTTTCTATTTCGGAAATATTTGCTCGTCCGAATTTATCAGCAATTGTTTCCAAACTTTTTCACAATGTCAGTAAATTCTTGTTTTGAATTCTAAAAAATTCTTAAGTGACTCACTTTTCAAGGACACAAAAATTCAAACCTCCCAAAATTAAGTTTTCAATTTTGTATACTCCTTTCTATTTTCATTTCATTTTTGTAGGGATTTACTAATTCCATCACTAGATGGCAGCTCTGCATTAAAGCACACTCTACTAAGGGCTCTGTCGCTGTTGTTGTTAATTTACGTCACACTAGAGCTGCACAATGGGCTATTGGCGACGGTCTGGGAAACATCCCGGAGGATGATCCGAAGACGTGCCATCACAATTTTGATCCTCTGCGGAGGGGATGGTACCCCCTCTCTGTCAGTAGGTCCTGCAGTGAACTGATCATTAAGACACGGTTCCCAGCAGATCACCGAAGTCAAGCATCACTGGCTGCGGTCAGTGTGCGAGTGGGTGACCCACTTGGATCAGTCTGCGCAGGGACCGAGGGTGTGCGGTATTGGTCCTCGTTAAACTGTGTTACCGTAAAGTGCTCGACTTCGCGCGCAGGTCGTCGGGCTACCGAAGCGGGGGTGCCATCCCTTCCGCAGAGGATCAAAATTGTGATGCCATGTCTTCGGATCATCCTCTGGGATGTTTCCCAGACCGTCGGCTATAGCCCATTGTGCAGCTCTAGTGCGACGTAAAAGTAACAACTACAACAACAACAACAGCAGCTCTAGTGCGACGTAAATGAACTACAACAACAACTGTCTGTAGTTTAGAATTGTAAAATTAAATTATCAAATTAATTATTAATAAGTAATTAACTAAGTTAATACATATTTCTAAATCGAGTTAAAAGTTTCATTAATTTTAAAGTAAAAATACAATTTATTATCAATTTTTTATGTTTCTAAATCATGTTCTTGTTGTTCATTTACGTCGCACTAGAGCTGCACAATGGGCTATTGGCGACGGTCTGGGAAACATCCCTGAGGATGATCCGAAGGCATGCCATCACAATTTTGATCCTCTGCGGAGGGGATAGCACCCCCGCTTCGGTAGCCCGACGACCTGCGCGCAAAGTCGAGCACTTTACGGTAGCACAGTTTAACGAGGATCAATACCGCACACCCTCGGTCCCTACGCAGACTGATCCAAGTGGTCACCCACCCGCAGACTGACCGCAGCCAGTGATGCTTGACTTCGGTGATCTGCTGGGAACCGTGTCTTAACGATCAGTCCACTACGGGACGTTTCTAAATCAGAACTAGCACAACTAACAACAAATCGGTTTTTTGTTGCCATTGAGAAGATATGACCTTCATTTCCTCTTACGGCACTATTTAGCGTAATCATAAGTTAAATACAAAAAAAAGATTTCATCCTTGTCCGTAACTGTTGGGTCATGTTTGTTTTTTTCCTCTGACAAACTGACACATCTGTGAACAATTTTTATGTCTCATGTAAATTTATACGTAAGTGCTTGCTTTATATTAGCTTCCTGATGCGTGCTAATTTTTGTTTTCTTTCCGCAAAAAATGTTTTCATTTAAGGAGTTTAAAATTTAATACTGATTATCTGGGATAAATGATATTGGCATTTGTACTAGTCATCCTATTTAGTTATTCTCTAATTCAAAAATAAAAATAAATTGCTTCATTGAGTTCTCAAAATAAATTAATTATACTTGTAGTTTTTATTTTCGAGATTCTTCTGTCTACTTTTTACTCTTCATACAGGTATTAATATTGTAAATTACAGTGATATTTAAGTTTCGTTTTTCTTAAGTTAATTTTTATTTATGTTGGCGTATCTAAATGTATTTTGAATACTTTTCCAATTATTTATAAAAGTTATTAGTGTCGTTAGGTACTTTTTTTTCTACTGAAAAAAAAATCGTAGTTAATTTTAATTTTGTGTTAGAAACTTCTCTACAAGTTTTGTTTTATAAAATACTCTCTTTTAGGTACTTTTTGTAAAAAAAATAATAAATAAAAAAAAGAGGTATCAAATGAGTTATATTTTCATTACTGATTATGGGTATTTTCATACTGAATCGTGATCTGTTGCCTAAACTACAATCCCCTAGGTGCCAAATAGATTTTAAACTAAGAAATTTTTTTTAAAAAAGATATGTTGATGTTTTCCCAGGGGCAACTACGAGTTATACCTTTTGAGTTGGTCCCTTTCTGTGATGTTCTTTCAGTTTCTCGTGGGCCTCTGCCTGGAAGTTAAATCTCCCCTTATTTGTTACAGGTCACAATACAGAAATATCACCAAATTTTTATAAAAATTGGTGAATTTTTTTTTGAAGCGGTCAAAAAAAAGTATCAGAATGTTAATAAAAATTTAACACTTTTTAAAAAATTGCTGTTAACAATGTAAAGTCCCTCATCATCTGACTGCCAGTTGAGCCAAGCAGCAATGTACAAAAAACTTTTAAGTAGTTATAAGAATTTCTAATGCAGCAGTCTCTCTAAATATATGGTTACTGCTCCTTCACCGTCTAGGAAATGGATGGTTGATCGTGTGAAGCTAAGAGCAGATGACTTTTGTGATTAAAATTCATCATAATACTTCCAGGTTACTACATTTGATTGATTTTTTCGCCTAAACTTGGAAAAGCGAGCCATTCAATACAGGGTTGAGGTTTTGGACAGGACACGTGGGTCTTACTGTCTTAAACTGGATAAAACTGTCCTAAACTAAATAAAACTGTCTTAAAGTGTCCAAAACCTTGAACTTAGGTAAAAGGTAAAAATTCTATAGGGGTAACCATTGTACACATAATAATTACACGTATCAATGAATATTTGATATTTTTTTATACAATTTACTTTAACTTATTAAAGGAAAATAATATAATTTAATAGGAAAAGGTTTATAATTTTTGAAGCTCCACAATTCATTGAACAACAAAAGTGAATACCAAATCCTTTAAATATAAATATGCTTTTAATACTGATAAATAATGTTTTTGCATAAGGATTAATAATGCAATATTAAAAATAATGATTTTTTTTAAAAAATATACTAAATTTGTTTAAAAATTAGCCTTTTATTTTTCACAATATTTTTTTTAAATAAATGCTATAATTTCTGCTTTACAGGATGATAAAAAAGACATCTATTAAAAAAAAAATGTTTTTAAATATAAATATATTAGTTTAAATTGGAAATACAAAATAACTGAAAAATGTATTAACAGTTTTGAGGGGCATAACATCAGTTTCAGTTAGTGACAGGGGTGATGTATCGCCACTATGCTAAAAGAAATGAACATGAATGAAATAAAAGTATTCTTGAATAATACTATAGATAAATAAACCTGTTTATGACTAACCAAGCACTCAGTCCCTAATAACTTACTTAACCTGTATGGCAAGGTCAAACTTCAGTTATGTACTATTGAATGAGAGGACCAATTGAACTGGATTACTGATTAATCTTCCTTTGTTTAATGTTTAAATTGAAGAGTCAGACAATATTAATAAAACATTATACTTTTATAAACAAATACTCTGTAGTAGATTTAATTATCAATATGTTATTAGTTCTATGTTTATTTTACCTTTTAAATATTGTTTTGATAAAATTGCAACATATTTTGAGTAAAAGGGTTTTGGACAGTTTAAGACAATTGGACAAAAGGGTTTTGGACAGGACGGCTTAAACTGTGCATTAATCCCTTCTGTCCTAAACCTTGCTAACCCTGATTCAATATTATTACTCTTGTAGCGTTTGCAATATCATGTGCTCTTTCAATTTAACTTTCAACATAATAAATGAATACGGAAGACCTCGAAAACATGCTATGATGCTACCCAAAGAATATCGAACGGCTATATTTTACGTAGTTTTAGTCAAATAAGGGAAGACACTCAAAATATGGCAAACCTTATACTTAATTTGTATTGTAATATTAATTTTCTTACATTTTTGTTAGGCTCACGGCCTTTTAGAATTTATGAATTTCAGATAACTGTTATAAATGGTAAAATTTCATGTGAATTTGAACAAAATTCTCAATAAGAATTCCTAGAATATTAGGCCTGTTCACGCATCGCCTTGTAAGCGGAGGGATACGCCTGAAGTTTTCTACATTTCTTCCGGTCTTAGTCTATTGTTTATATTCAGTCAACCATCCATATCTAATTCTTTTTGGTGATGGATGTTTTCCAATGAAAAACTTACCAATAAGGTTCCTTTATTCTCACCACAATGATTGGAGAAGAATGCTTCTTTTAAAAAAAGATGTTGTTTAGCATTTACCACCTGTTTCTCTTTGTGTTTGTTCATGACCACATAAATCCTATGTTCTATCTACTCTTAGCTTCTAGTATAACATTTATTAAGGAAACACTTCTGGGCAATTCCATGGGGACTGACATTACATTTTGACAGGTTTTCTTATTTTCTATATTCTTTTCTTGAAATTATTTGAAATAATAAGATTTTATTATATAGTTTAGATCAGTGGTTACCAACTGGCGCCTCGGCCCACGAGCTAAAATATATTAGCTGTCATTTTTTTGCCAACAATTTTCTTTAAAAAACACCTAATTTCTTCGTTTCTGTGAAATTTAATATACCAACAGTGCAAAAAAAAAAAAAAAAAAATTCCCAGGTAAAAATCTACTTCTTATTTTAATTTGTAATCCAATACTTTTGTTTTGTACAACATGATAAAAACCTGACAGTAATATTTAATATTCCTTCAAACATAAGAGTCCTATATAAAATTTTGATAAAGTTCAGGCCTGCCTTTTGACTGGTGTTTTTAAGTGCAGCCCCCGGCCTCATGTAAGTTGGAAACCCCTGGTTTAGATAATATAATCATTAATGTGAATTTGCATTGTCACATTTTTTTCAGCTAACAAGAGTAACCATATTTCAAATTTACTATTTTATAAAATTTATCGTTTTTCTTGTATAAATATGAATAGTAGACATTTTTCCTTGTTATTTTGCAAAAAATTATTTCATTTGAAACCAAAAGCTTTTAAGTAAAAGCAAATTGATGTGTACAAAGAGTAATCATGGAATTGTCCTGATTATTGGATCAAAAGTTATTCAGGGTGTTCACTTTTTTATTTTATGTGCTGTGTATCATTCAATTGATGAGGTGAGGCAAAGTTTATTCACAAACATAATTCTTTCATTTCCCCCCTTTAATTTAATTAAAAAATTATTATTGTAATTTTTTTAGCATTTTCTTGTTTAGTTTTGTGCGTCATAGCTTTTTTTTTTACCTGTATAATTTAGGTCAAATCAGGTTTACCAAGCCATTTGCCTCCATACCTTATGATAAAGTTTCAACTCCTATATAATTCGACATCTTATTTGAATTTGATTTTTTTATTTATTTATTTTTTGCATTGTTATTTTTCTGCAAATGATAAAAAAAATTACTGTTAATATATATGCTCTATTTATTTATTTTTATTTAAGAGATTTCTTATTTTCATGTAATATGCTTGTAATTTCAGATCAGTTAAAGAATTTTTGATCATGAATCCATCTGCTGCAAGAAGAGCTAGTAAGTATCTGAATTTATTTTCTTTAATTTTTTTCAATAATAAATAGTAATGTAGTTTTCAATGATAAATCATAATAATTTTTGTTCAGTAATAAAAAAGTAATATAGTAACTACAGTGTTTTCCTCCAGTGCTTTTAGAAGGGCAGCCCGCTCTGCTTGCCCTTTGATCCAAATAAATCTGCTCTCTTGGCTCTTTTTGTAAAAATAAGACATCATCCCTTAAAAACACTGCCTTTTTAATCATAATCCATTTAAAAAAATATAAGTTCACTGTTTAAATAATAATTACGCCTAGGTAAAATTCACTGTGTTTATAGGTTTAATTCTGTTTACTATTACAAATATTTACATCATTATGATTATTGTCAACTGGTTAAATGTTTACAAGTATCTCTTTTTTTCAAAAAAAGATATTGATAATTTTTTTAAAGTAAAAACCTTTATTTTTTAAAAAAATAAAATACACTTTTAAATGTCAATTTTCTCATAATTTTCAGTTTAAATTATAGAAAGAAGCTTTCAAGCTGTTTATCAGTTCAATCTTTTTTGCATTCTTTTTTTTTTATAGTTTTTTTGAAAAAAATTTATGCGCAGATATTGTCTTTCAGCATTCTTTTCATTATTTTTATAAATTACAAATTTTTCTCTTATTCTGATTCTGAGAGAAAATTACTTTTAAAAATACACATAAAATAGTATTAGAAGGTAATTTAAAAATTGTTGAGGATAAAATTCAGTTATTACATAATATTACACATTTTGATAAAAAATTTCACGGTGTTAAGTGAGTGCCCTTTTCTGAGAGGAAGCACCCTGCCCTTTTTTATTCCTAGAGCGAACTTAATATTTATCTTAAGGTTGAAGTAAATGGATATGTTCATATAAAATAGAAAGTGTTGATAATTGTAGTCATGAATATTGTGTTTGACTTCTTCCAATACTAAGCTAGTTCAGTTCAATCATTTTGGTAACTTGAAAACTTTAACGAAGTCTAAATTGTTAAAGGTGACTCCCGAACCCAGATATTTTACGTGCATAAAAGCTTGATATTTCATTACGATGAATGTTTCTGGGGGTTAATAAAGCTAAAAGAATTAACAAATTATAACTTAATTAAGTTGCTAATTTGAATTGTGAAATTGTATTAAGAATTGCAAACAGGATTCCAATTCAAAATGTTTCCAGAGGAAAATATATTAATTTGAATTGTAGTTGTAATATATTTCAAAATAAAATTCTAGCTATGAACCTACTTGAATGTGTGAATTATATACATTAACAAATATTTTTTGTTATTTTTTTTTATGTAGATTAAACATTTAATTTTAATTAATGCAACACTTTTAATTTTGTCTTATTATTAAAAATGAAATATTTTTATAAATCCTAATTTTAATTTCAGAAGAAGATAAAGGTATGTTTTTTTTTTTAAATTTATAAATTTTACTAAAGTATAAATAAATTAGAGATAAATTGCTTCTACTTGAAAGATATATAAACTTGTCAAAATATATTTACAGTGATGTTGTTTAGGAAGTCGTTATGGAGAAATCTTCAGAGGAAGGCATTGGCTCATATTGGGCTGCCTGGCCAACTATGATGATGATGATATTGTTTAGGTGCTATAACACGTAAAATACATCAAAAATCATACAGAGGTCTCAAAAAATTAAGTTATTGTGCATCCTCTCGGACGCATGATCCTTCTGTGCAAAAAAAATTGCGTATGCAGAAATATAACCAAACTTTAAATATGCAGTGAGTAGGACTGGACGATGTTAAGATTTCACCATCATGATGCATCGCCACTCAAACATTGCGATGTTTCGATACATCATGATGTCACGTTACTGTTTCACATTTGGTTTTGCCAAATTTTGCATTCTTGCACAACTTTGCTTTTTATTTATTTGATGCTACTGTGAAGTAAAAGTAAAATTTAAATTTTAAATATATATATTAGATTTTTAGAATTTAAACTTTGTGTGTTTGGGGAAAACAGAGAGTAAAATTTCAAGAGAGGGATATTCAGATAAAATTTATGAAAAGTGAAAATCTGCCAAAATGCATCAAATTAACATTATCCGAATTATATTCATTTTATAGGTAAGCAACTAAGTGATTTATAATTGAATGTTGTATTTAATTTCAATAAAGTTATATAAAAAATATAATCAATGGGGAAAATTAAAGATAGGAGTAAACTAAATGTATGACTTTATAGCCTGGTACATCAATGTTTAGTAAAAAGTATTTATTGTAATGGGTTTTTTTCTATTTTTTTATTTATTATTTTTATTTTGATTATTTTCTTCTTTTGGATTAAAATAATTCTGTCTTTTTCAATTTAAACAAAACACATCTTTTCAACCTTCAGATTTTGCTGAAAAAAATCGGAAAAAAGTTTTTAAATGAAAGAAAGAGGGTATTTAATAAATATAGTTAACTAGTGAAACGAATAATTAATTAAAATTTTACATGCAGCTTTGAAAAAAATTAGTAAATTATCTTTAAGGATGAATTAAGAAAGGTAAAAAAAAAGAGAATATTATTTCAACCTTGACCAATAAAAATTATTGTTAATTTTCAACATTCTTAACGATAGTTAGGTATCTTTGACAAAAACACATTAAAAAATTATTACATTAAGAAATAATTTTTCTGTAAAATAAAATTAGGAGAAATTGGTGCATTTTTTTCAGCTTTTATATTGTAATAAATTTATCTTAACATGAATATTTTAGCAATTAATATTTGAGGATAGAGTGTAGTGCATGAAAAAAAAATTATTTTTGACTTAGTAATCGGATTTCAAAAAGTCTGATTTTTTGAAATTTATTTTTCAGAAACTATTCAACTAATTTCTTTTAACTTTTTTATTTTGAAATAAAAAATTATATTCTACAAAAATTGTATACTTCTTTGGCTATTACTAATAAAAAAAATGAATTAAAATCATTTTTGCATAAAATAATCTTTCAATGAACGAATTTTATAATTTTGTGCTAAAATTTTTCCATTCGAGTAAAAAGTTCTCGCGATGTGACGGAATACCCAAAAAGTAGCATTAACATCAAGAGATCCTAACTTTCGATCGCTCTCCTGACCAAACTATTAGATCTATATTTCTCAGATTACAGCTACGCCTAATATTTTGAGGGTCAGGAATCATAATCCGTCAAAAAATGTATTCAGATAAGTACGTTTTTATGCCTCACTTCATAATTTAAAATATTGTCTGCTTAAACTAATTAGCATATTTGAGGTCTCTCCCTCAAACCACTAAAGATTAAGTCCTAATACGTAAAAATCAGAAGAAAAGTATTAGCCTGCTGCAAAGTGTGTCAACCAACTGTAAAAATAAAATAGATACAATTATGAAAATAAAATAAAATTTAACATGTGCTTTGAGCCAACAATTTAAAAATCTTTATAAACGGAAATATGAAAAACTTAATAGAAAAATATTTTTAAAAAATGATGGATTGAGAAAGATAGAATACTTAGAACAACCGATGCGTATAACCTCTTGGCCTTTCATTCTCCAGAATTTCTTGATGAACATCCTTCAATAATTTATTGAATTTATTGAGGGTGGTAACCTTCAATATTTTTGAGGAAATAAGGAAAAATTAGTATAAAAATAAAATTTCCTGGAAAAGGATACGATGGAAATTAATATGGCTTCAATATTGTAAAAATCAATTATTCAAAATTTTATTTTCAGAATTATTGCTAACCTAATGCATTATGTTGCTAAAGTATATTTTGTGAAAATAAAATTTAACTGCACACTCTTTTAAAAATCGTTATAAATAAGGAAGGTCGAGAAATATTGAAAAGCAATCAAGATGAAAAAGAAAATGCTAAAGAAATAAAAACGAAACGACTGTCTTAAAACGGAAATTTGTTTTAAAAACTTGTTTGCCAAAATTTTTTGCAAAAATATTAGATTTTTTTATATTTTCTAATAATAATATTAATTTTTTAATAATTGAAAACGTGGTCAATATGCAGAATTGCAGCTTTATACAAAATTATTAAGGAAAATATCTTATCCATATTGAAGGAATGCAATTCTTCAGATTTAACAAAGAAAAATAAATAGGTAAAAAAATAAATAAGGAAAAAGTCTTATCGGAACAGATGAAAAGCGATCTTTTCTTCAACAAAACAAAAATTATCTCAAAGTATTGTCAAATAGCAAAACATAAATAATCCTTAGAGAAATTAAATTTGCAAGAATTGAAGAAAGCACTTTTTCATCTTTCATTGGCGATGAGTTAGTTTCACTCCTAGTACGTCGGAATTCATCATATCAGCACATTGCTATTTGATAATTCGTGAAGGAAGAAACACACAAGAAAAGATCGTCACGGCAATCGATGTCACCTCGTGATCGGGGGGAATGCTCTTTGTGCACTCTTGCGACCATCGATGTTGAACCTTAAGAATCGCTCTTTGCATCATCGGGAAACATCGTACCCACCAGTCGTACACCAGAATTTCCGATGCTTCGTAAAAGACCCCAATCTAAACATCGGATTGCCAATGATTACACAGCGTCGATGTTTTCCTATGAATCAATGTATCGCCCAGTCCTAACAGTGAGACTTCTCGGGAGCAACCACTCTTCGTACCACAGTAAAATGGTCGTTCTAGAGGTTACCTCCATTGACTTCAAAATTGCGATCGAAGGTACATGATTTTTCGCAAACAATTTTATTTTTAGTCAATGTCATTTTCTTGGTGCGAAAATGCTACTTCTAGTGGCATCATGGAAAGACGAATCTATGAATAAAATTTAACGTCTATAAAAATGATCCCAACTGATATGTGTAATAAATTTACCAATCAAGTTTTTTGTTTAAGTTTGCATTTAATTTTATGTCATAAAAATTTGTTAGCTTTAAGAGATATTAAGGGTTTTGTTTCACATGCTTGTTTTTTCTAAACACTTTTTTTTCTAACTTAATTTTCCACACAATAAGTAAATCATTGATAGCATCATTTTTAATGCATTCTGACTGCAACATGAGGTTATATCGTTAATTAAGAACTCTCTAAATAAGACTCTCACACAAATATTTTGAATACATTTTAATCTACATGGTGCGTAGCATTTTTAAAAAGTGCTTAAAGGAGTTTATTTTTGATTTTCATTTTTAAAAAGGCTTTAAAGGTGCTCTTTTCATTGGGTGTTTTTAAAAAGTGCTTAACTTCCCTTTTTTGAAAATGAGATATTATTTCTTTACCATGTGAATTTTCGCCACATATTATGCAAAAGCGTGCTTTTCACATTGTTCTATTCAACATTTTCACAATTCATTCGACCACGATCCATTTCGTTCATAGCATATGAAAGCTCCAATCATTTTACATGCTTGATGAAATACTTGGGAATCTGCATGTGCGTCTACTGAGCTGGGTTCAGGGAGATTATTGCACTTTCATGTGCAACTCTGCTGCATTTTGCAAGATATTCTCAATTTCAGGCTTCATTTTCCGCCCTCTGATGTAGAACGGAAAAATCTCATGATCATTTTATAACGGCTAATATAATCAAGAAAAAAAGTTCTTTGTCAGAAACTAGTTATTTTATCATGATCATGTAAAGTCTTTGAAAATTATTTTGCATTTTGTTTATTTATATAGTACTAAAAATATTTTTTGAGTGCTTAAAAAGTACTTGAAAGGTATCTATTTTTTGTTGAACTATTTGGCTACACACCCTGATCTACTTATTTGTTTTGATATTTTTTTGTTTCCTTATATGACCTTTTCCGCATTTGGAGAGATAAAATCTTTTCTAAAAGTTTCCTACAACATAAAGTTTGTGGAAAAAATTCCATGCTTCCCAAAAGTGGTTGCTACATAGGGGTGGTCTTTCTCAGAAGTTTCACTGTGCAAATATTGATGAAAAATAATTCTTCTTTACTAGAAACTAAAAGAGAAAAATTATGTAATTCTGAGTATCATACTACATTGTTGCTTTTCATCGATGCACGGGTTAATCCTTGAAAGTGTTAGGCTGCCGACAATGTTACCAGCCATCTATCAGAAGATGCCTCAAGATAGAATCGAGTTAACATGTCTTATATACTAGTGAGTGGAAATTTATTAGTTGTAGGGGTTGCTACGCTACGTTACTGCCCCACCAGAATTTTATCTATAATAGAATTCGATGAATAGATACCTCTACTTATTTCATTGCCATCGTAGGGGAGCTGTATTAAGATTACGGTTGTGGGTGTGGTCACTCCTGTGTTCCTATGAGCAATCAAGTCACAAATAGCAAGTCAATTGTTCACTGTTTACCATGTATTGAACTAGGCGTTTTCAAATCGAACTAGGCGTTTTCAAATCATGTTTGAGTCACCAATGTGTGTGTGGAGGCTACCGACATTGTCAATCATCATCTACTGAAAAGTGCCTCGAGATAAAATAGAGTTGGCATGTCTCATATAGTAGTGAATGGGAATTGAATAGTTGTATTAGTAGCTATGCTACAGTCCTTATTAAAAGCTTTGATTGTTTCTTATATATTCACTCTTTAAATTCATATGTTTTTAGAAATAAAATATTTATTTTTGCAGGGATTATGATTTAAAATGTGGTTCACCATTTAAAGGAGTGAACAACCTTTTAGAAAAAATTAAGTAACATTCTAGCCTTTACATGGTGATGTACTTTTTAAACACACATTGTTTAATCTTTTGCTAATGCCACTTAATAGGATAACACCTTCTATTCTAGTCCATCAGTTATACCAACCCTAAGCTAAGGCTTAATCATAAATTAGTTTATAAATTAAATCTTATTCACATTCTGAAACTATAATTTCTTTAAAATATTTCAGGTGGTCCTAGGAGGCAAAAAGGGTATAGACCTAATAATCCTGCAGATTATCAGTATGGCCAATATCCACCAGTACCACAGTTGTTTAATGATACAAGTGGGGGATTTGTTCCACCGTATCCGCAGAATCCAGGTACTGTATCTCAAAATTCTATATAAATTACTTTAAATATATTAAATATATATCTAATCACTGAATGTTTATCATTTATGAATATTTTATATCTTTAAATATTTTGAATTTAGTTTTGATGTTTCTATAAATTCATGTATTTTTCTTTTTTAAAAAAAGGAGTCATATATTGTAAAAATTTTAATTTCTTTTAGTGTAATAAAGCAAGATAACAGCTAATAAAATTATAGCCCAATAATAACCTTGAAGTTACTAAAGTTTCACAAGTGTTCATTTTCAAGTTGTGACATCATAGAGCAGATCAAACGATCATAAACTTTCCTTTCTCTGGAAAAAGTTTTTATATTAAATATCTTATATGAATATTAGAAGTGTATACTTTTTTCCATATTTATATATGGAGCATATGAATACTAATATATTGTGGATATTGCTTTGAGTTCTGCTGAGCATAAGAAGACAAAAACTATTATTTTACTGAACAAAAATTTAGATATATTGCATTACTTGAAGATCTGCAGATGATATTGGCTTGCAATATAAGTTGGTTGGCATGGAATTTGCCTAACGCCCGATGGGCAGAAATCCATAATGTACATGAACACCGCTCATGGAAATTTATTCACTATCGTGGAAAGTGTTCTAAAATTCAAGTTATTCAAATAACATAGAATAATTACCAAATAAAAATCATAAAAATGTCTTGCTTCTAAAAGCTAAAATTGCATTGACATTTAAGAATAAGATAAATAAATATTGCATTATTGAAAAAAATAGGCTAACTTGTGCTATAACTGTAATAGTATAGTTTCAAATTCATATATAAAGCAGGGTGCTTAGCTTTTTTAAAAAGTTCTCATTTCCGAATTTTATTTTTTAAAAGCCCTTAAAAGTGCGTTTTTTTATTGGGTGTTTTTAAAAAGTGCTTAATTTTCTCTTTTCGGAAATGATATATTTTTCTTCTTTACCTTGTCGATTTTTGCCACGTATTATGCAAAAGAGTAGTTCTATTCAACGTTTTCTCAATTCATTCAACCACAATCTATTTCGGCATAACGACATTCTGTAGCTTATGAAAGCACCAATCATTTTACATGTTTGATGAAATATTTGCTGGTCTGTGTGTGCGTATACTGAGCTCGATTCAGTGGGAATTATTCTTGCACTATCATGTGCAACTCTGCTGCATTTTGCATGAGATTCTCAATTACAGACTTCATTTTAGACTCTCTCAGCAGCTAGTTATTTTATCATGATCATGTAAAGTCTTTTAAAATTATTTTGCATTTTGTTAATATACATAGTGCTTAAAAAGTACTTAAAAGGTGCTTATTTTTTAATGAAAGATTAAGCTACACACCCTTTAAAGACTTAAATAATTATATTTCATTAGTGTGCAAATTCTGTCAGTGAAAAAAAAATTATAAATTGTTTTAAATGTGTGTAAATAGTGAACAGACATTGTTATATCTAGGTATGGGATCTGGTGGTTGGGATTCAAGTTATCCTCCTCAGCCAGCATTTCCTGGTCAGCAACTTCTATCAGATCCAATGGCTACCATGGCAATGCAATATGGTCAGACTATAGCCGATCAAGGTAAACAGATTGTGGAAGAAAAGGTAATTTTATTTTCTGTCGCATTATGTTCTATAACAAGCATGAGTATTACACGCTTAGTGTAGAAGCCGAGTCACATATTCAGCTTTAGCCAGAGCCAAGTGACCCAGCTGTCAGCATGCCTGACTGTGAAGTCAATGGTTGCGGGGTTGAATCCCGCTCAGGGCATGGATGTTTCTCTTTGGGTGTTGTTCTCTATTGTGTGAATGTGGCCCACCATATAAGCGGTTATCTGTGGCATGGGTAATGTTGCTCACATCCGTGACTTACGTTCACAGATGCCCAATGAGCAACACTTCCGCCATTTTCCGAGATGAAGAACAAAAATTCAGTGCCTGCAGTTAGAAAAGAAAAAAATACATATTCAGCTTTTTGAACATTAATTTCATCTTTTTCTGAACTTGAAGCATTTCCCGCAGCAAAAATCAGCTATCCATGTATTATTCAAACTTGTTCTAAAAAACTATATTTTTTAAGGGAATGTTTATCTAGAATAACAAGCCTTTTTATTGTGAAAATGGATTAATCAAAGAACAGGGAATTTTAGCAGTCTTGAAAAATCAGGAAATTTGAATTAAAATACCCCAAAACTGAAGGGAAATGGAGAAATTTAAGTTGAAAATACCCAAAAGGTCAATATTTTTCCAAAAAATCATTCTTAATTTTTTTTTAAATTTATATTTAATTTTAAATGCAAGTGTAAGTGTTTTTTGATACATTTTTTGTACAAGAATAAGGCATAACCATAAAATTAAGTCTACCGGTTACAAAAATCAGGGAAAAATCATTGAAAAAAATTTTCCTGTGTGTTTGTGATCATCCTAGGAGAAATGTGTTTTACGGAATGAAACCTTCATTTTTTGCACAGCTTTATTTAAGATTTGTGGATACATAAATTATAAAGGATAAGTAGAATAACATGGTAAAAGCAAGCTTTATATTAACATTTTATATATTTTTCTGAATAAAGTGAAAATTCTAGCTTACTGTGTCTATTATTATAAACATAACTATGATATTATGAAAATATCATAGTTGTATTTTTATATTATTATTAATATAAAAATATGATAATACTAACATGATTATATTATAAACTCCAAACTACGTTTCACAAAACCCAATTTATGAGCGTTGATTTATCAGAAATTGAAAACTTCAAAACATTTCTGTGTAGCAATTTATAACCAAAAAATTGTGTTTGTGCGTCAGTTATTCAAAAAAAAAATTGGAAGCAACTTAAAGGAATCTTTTTTTTTGTCAATAGTTTGTAAGATGTGCAAAATATTAATAATTTATCCTGTATACCTTTATTAACTTAGATTTTGATAATTTTTGTGGATTTATTATTTTAATCTAAATTTCTTTTATATTTATAATTAATGTGTTAAATGTTATTGTAGCTGGAAAAATATGTGTCTATTTCAAAAGTGAAATACTACTTTGCTGTGGATACAAAATATGTTATGAAGAAACTTGGATTACTGTTTTTCCCATTTACCCATAAAGTAAGTTTTAAAGTATAAATTGACCCTTGAATTTACAAAAACTTTTTTATCCATTTACAATGATGCTGCAAGCTAAGCCAATATGAAATATTTTATTGTGTTATACAGTACAGAACCCGTTATCCGGAAATCAGAAAACCGGAAAACCAAAAAACCAGAACGAAATTCGATAATTTTCCCTCCATTTTTGAAAAAAAAATTATTTTTTTTTCCTCATAAGATTTTAGGATTTTTCTTTCTTTTTTGAAAGATGTTTACCTTACCATCATTTTGGAAATAATCATTAGTGTATTACTTCATCGTTTTTTCTTCTTTTTAAGATTATTTCCAAAAAATTTTTTTTTTAGTTAGGTTTAACAATAAAAAAACTGCTTTTTGTAGCGATTCAGAAAACCGGAAAAATCAGTTATCCGGAATAGCGATGGTCCCGATCGTTCCGGATAATCGGTTCCCTACTGTACTTACTTGTTTATATATTTATAAAATTGTAGGTAATTTTTTAGACTAAGTGTTATTTAAGGTTTCAGGAGAGAAAAAAACCTTTAACTTTAATGCTGAACTAATGTATCAGTCGACCCCTGGTGATTTACTATCAGCTACGCTGTTGAATATTACCTTGCAATTATATCTATTGATTAAATGGGTTAAGTCTTTGCAGAATTAGTGCAAAAACTAGTACAAATTTCAACATATGTAGGTTAATTTGACATAGTAAGAAAGACAATAGTTAATATAAGTAACAAAGAGTTAATCTTTATTGCAAATGAAATAAGCCTGAGTATTAATGACGAAAAAACTAATTATATGATAATGTCAAACTCTGAAGAAGACAAATTCAGAATTGAGCCATTGGTAATAAAAACCTTAAAGGGAAACACATTTTTACCTACCTAGTGAACAAATGTGAAATATATGATTTGATAAAGCAAGAAGTATGAAATGGAAATGAAGCGCTGTATACCGATTGATTAGCCTTATTTGAAGCTTTCATTTGATATTTTCTTATTACAATAGAATTCTCAGCGTCAACAACGAGATAAAAGGCTCAAAATAGATTGTTTAAAATCAAATCTCTTGCTAGCCATTTATGGTTGGAATATAGCTTAGCTAATTGGAGCTTGTAAGCCAAAGATACTACCCGAATTCACGTTTTTGATCATCACTATTTTACATAAATAAAAATAAAAACAAATTTTAAAATGTTAACTGATATAGTATAAAAAACTTGTTGGTGGCTAAAAACTTAAAAAAAGATGTAGAATCTTAAAAATTGAAATGTAGATATTTATTGCAATAAAATTAAATCAAGGTATGGTTGTCTTAAGTTTTCAATGTTTCCAGATGTTATTTTTGCTTTGTTTTGTGTCAAAAATAAATTAATAAAATAAAGAAAAAAAATTAGAAAAAATAACCAAATGAATGATTTAATAACGAAAGGTAAGTTTTGGTAATAAAGGTAAATTTTGGTGTCAGTGAGCTATAAATTTCTGAAAATTCTGGTAAACAATGCTAGACTGCATTAATTGGTCAAAAAACAAGTTCAGTCTTGAATTTTTTTTAGTGGCACTCATGTTTCCTTGATGAACAAGATTTTTTTAATTTAGCAATAGTTATTTAAAAATGAATTATTTAAAGTTTTATTTTAATGTTGAATTCAATATTATGTTTTAGGAATGGGCTGTTCACTTTAATAACCAAAATGAACCTGTAGCTCCAAGATATGATGTCAATGCTCCTGATTTGTATATTCCAAGTTAGTTGTGTCTATTAACTATTTATTTATGTACTATCTATTCTCTATTTATTTAATATTTTTATTTTGTGTTTTAGCAATGGCTTTTGTAACCTATATTTTAACTGCTGGATACATACTTGGATCTCAAAATAGGTATTCATCTATTTGTAAAATAAAATTTTATTTAAATATTTTTTTAAAAAAATTAATATTACTTATATATTTTTGAAAAAATATTTTTTTCGAGTTATAGCTAATTATTAATTAATCATATCTTGTATTTTTTACTGAAAAATCAACAGACTAGGAGCTAATAGCTACCAGAAAAATAATGCTTGCAAAAAAATAGGAATTTAAAACTTTCAAATGTGATTTTTCTTGTAAACTTAAAATTCTTAATTGTCGAAGTAGATTCATCATCTATTTGTTAAAAAAAATTTTTTTTTATATATTTTTTGAAAAAAAAAATACTCATTATATACTTTAGAAAAAATGTTTTTTGAAAAGTTATAGTTAACTTGTATTTTTTACTGCCAAATCAACAGACTCGGGGCTAAGAGCTACCAGAAAAATAATGCTTTCAAAAAGATAGGAATTCAAAATTTTCAAAGAAGATTTTTCTTGTAAATTTGGAAATGTCATTTTACTTGTTTTCAAAAAACCACAGATTTAAACTCAACTTCTTTCTTCAGTTCTTAATGTTTTAAAGGTTCTTATTGTTGTCGTTGTAATGTTCTAAATTAGGCAGCTTAAAAAAAGACTAAGCAAGAGGTGATTGAAAGCCCTGATGGCTTAGGGGGTAAAGCGTACGCCTTCCAATGAGATGAACTGTGTTCGAATCCTAACGAGGGCTGGTTGATACAAATTCCGTTTCCGGCTTGCATTGACCGCAGTGCTGACATAAAATAGCCTGAGTGGTAGACAGATCATGGGTTAGAGCCCCCTTGTCGTCAGACTGACCTTGTCAGGTTTTTGTGTTTTTCCACTATGTAACACAGATGTGGATTAGTTCCATCAATAAGTCCTCCACGAAGGCAAATTTCTCCCGATACTTGATCCAGAAATTCCCTTGTCTTCTGGACTGGGTTCAAAATTACAACGCTACGGAGTTGAACATTAGTAGTTAGAAACCCAAAAATTGGGTCAGCTGTTCAGCGACGGTTATAAAATAAAATATTCAGCACTTTATGTCGTCATTTTTTATTTTATAGTTTTAAATTTTATCACTATTGGTTGATCGATTGTATACATGGATATATTCAATGCAATAATATTATTCTTTATAACCTTGTAATCTTGAATCCTACTAAAAAAGAAAACTCCCAAGACAAAAACCAAGGCAAAACTTGCCTTTAGAAGACTAAAAGCTTTCATGCTAGCTATGTTATTGCAGTTGAGTCAATGGGGTGTTTTACAAAAAACATGTAACTTGATTTCAAGGATTTTCAATTTTTAAAACTTTGAAAAAATTCTTTAAAAAAATTTAATTTATTTTATGGTGTCCACTTACCTATTATAGGTAATCTCATTTTATATATATATAGTTTATGGAATTAAGAAGTGATGAAAATGTCTATTTCTATATTTTTATATATTCATTGTTCATATTTTGCACTTTAATACAGTGGTTTTACGAATTGGTTATATTGGTTTACATTTAGAAAATAATATTACATTCCATGTGACATGTAGAGTTAGGAGCTATTATTTTAAATATTAGTTGAATATTTCTACAGGGTGATCACTGAATTGGGAAAAGTTCAACGAATTTTGTCAACATGAAAAAAATCATTAAACTGTCAAAGAATTTTAATCAAAGATCCATAAGAAAAGTACTTGATTTGGGTTTAAAGTATCTTTAAGTTCAATATTTTTTTAAAAGTAAAATTGGTACCAATCCTGAAAAGAATTCTGACCATCGAACACTATTGTTCTGTTTGGGTTTATTTATATCAATAAATAGATATCTGGTAGAAGTTTTTTTTGTCTCATTAATGCATTTAAAGTTAATAATTTTATTAAATAATTTAAAAAAAATATTTTTAAAAAAAATAGTAATTAAACATTTATTAGAAAAATATTGCTAAATCAAAATATTAATCTTCAATCTGAAATGATGTTTAATCATTTGGCATCTATTTATATTAACTGACAGTTAATGTCTCATGTAAATGGTACCTGTTACTCTTATAATTACTTTTCACATGTCTGATATAACAGCAGCAAAAAAATAAATAATCAAAAATGAAATGTGTGTTCATTTTATCTCTAAAAGCTATCTATCTGAAGCCTTACACATACTAAATTTTATTAACTTATTCTTCTTGTATTTATTTATTTATTTTGTAATTAAAAAAAGATCAATCCTAAGTTTCTTGAAGTAGATTATTACAGTTAATAGAGTACAGCTTTAATAGAGTTACTTAATTTAAAGACCTTATAGCATTAATTAACAAAAATAATGACATAGCAACAGTAATCGTCTTATGATGTCAAACAGAATTTTTTATAGTTTTAAGAAAATACTAACATCCAAATTTCTCAAATGAGCAAAGATCAATATATATAAAACCTTAAATCACTACTAGTTCTGTATGAATATTGGAAGCTTACTAAGAATAAGATTAAACTGCTGATCTATGAAAGATAAATTTTGAGGAAAATTTTTGGCCCTATGAATGAAAATTATATATGGCGCATACTTAGCAACGGTGAGTTCTAAAACAAATTTAACGAGCTTAACATTGTCCAAAGAGCTTAATATTGTCTAAATCTTTAAAGCATATCATATAAGATGAAAATCTGTGCACTTTTCATGGGGAAGCCAGAGCTAAATTAGCAGTATAAATTAGTAGCAATAAAAATTATGCTATCAGTGACAAAAATCAGAAGAAATAGAAAAATCAGAGAATCTATTCTTTATGTTCAGCCTGTAGTAAAAGCTCATGATACAAACTCAACAAATTATCAAGAAACATAATTACAAGTTTTTGGAGGAACAGAAATATTTCCTTACCATGGCAAAATATTTTTGTCTGAAATTTCTCCCAAACTAAAAAAATTATCATCAAAATTAAATGTTATTTATTAAGAATTAATGTATGTAGGTAAAAGAAATGGAAAATTAAACCTTATTCAGATTAATCTTGAAGTAATTATGTATGATTCATTATTAAATTAATTTATCTAACGCTTTTTAAGGCATATATCGAGCTCCATTTACAATAATATTATTATGAAAATTTTATGTAATAAAAATAATAAAAGATTCATTTTAATTTAAAAAAAATTTTATGCATATAAATTACTATTAAATTCATAGATTTGTTTATTTAAGTCTGTACAAATTTTGTTAAATCTTATTTTGTGATCCTCTAAGATAAAAAAATGTGATATGCATGTGTGTGTGTATATATATATATATATATATATATATACATATAATATGTAATTTTTTAGATTCAGCCCTGAGCAGTTAGGAATGCAAGCTAGTTCTGCATTAGGATGGTCTGTCTTAGAAATTGGTGTTTTATTTATTGCTCTTTATTTGTCAAGTGCTTCATCTTCTATTCGAATGTTTGATTTGATAGCATTTTGCTCCTACAAATATGTTTGGTATGTATTTTTTTAGTTGATCATTTTCACTAATTGTCATATCTGTCAAGTCTCCTGTTTTGTTTTTTTTTAAACAAAGATTCCCGTATTTTACAACTATCTTCCATTTACCCGTATATTCTTGAATTTCTCCATATTTTTTGAGGGAATGAGAAAAAAGTTATAGATAAAATATCTGTTAATGGCAAAATACTTCTTTTATTCCTCAACAGATATCACTATGGTCAGTTGACTAGTTCTTGCAATGCTGCACTAACCAAACCGAATTTAAGGAGAAAGTTGGTGTTTGTTCAGTGAATCATTTTTCTCCAATAACATGTTATGTACTTACAGGAATCTGGCTATAACTTTGTTTACATTGTATTTTTACTGATCATCAAAACAGGAAAATAATTTTGTTTTCAACACCAAGTCTTAAGTTTCGAAGATCGATAAAGTTACGATATCTTCAAAAGTATTTGACTGAATTCGCCTGCTTAAAAAAAATCTCAACGAGAGGTAAATCATGTTTTTTACACACTTTGTTATTGTGATCTTAGCTTCACAAAAAAAGAGACATGCAACAACATTTGGCAGGGAAGAAGCATCTGGTTTTGTTTGCTGCTTCTAATAAAAATAATGCAATAACAACTTTTTCTTCAATGACGAAAGAGTATGCAGTAAATCTCCTAGAATGCCTTTTTACATATTTTTTCGTGGAACATAATTAGCCTTTGAACTGCTCTGATCATGGGAGCGGTCTTTAATGAAAAATGTTCCCAAAAATTAAATCCGGAAATGATATAGTTTGAGCAATTATGATTAATGGTTTTAAAAAACTTCATTAGACTAAGATTAATGTACGTATTTTTTATAGCATTTGTAAGTGCTTATGATATTTTCAATTTTGCGTTTCTCTTTTTGACTTACCTGTTTATGCGTGATATAGTCAATCTGTATGCATTGCCCGAAAAACGTCGCTAGTCAAATCTCCGTTATTTTAATTCTCGAATGTTTACAGGTATGAGATGGTAATTTATAAAAAAAATTTCTCTGAATAAAGCCTTAAAAATTCGCTGCGGGGAAGCATAGATAAACCATGATAACATAATACCTTTTTTCACCCTCAAAGTGCACTTTTGACATTGTTGATAAAGCGGCTGGAATGAGCTTCTGTTAGCCTCTTTTGGAAACAAATCAAATCCATGTATTTTCAATGAGTATAGCACAAAATTTAAACTGATTTTGCACTTACCCAAATCTTTGTGAATAATCTGTCTTTGCTAATTCACAATCTATTGGCAAATAATTGATTGAAATAATTAATTGTTCCTAATCTATTAGCCAACAGATATTCAATATATGTATTATATATATATATTATATATATTGAATATCTGTTGGCAATCTTCAACGGCATACGTATGACCTGCTCAAAATTTCCTGTCATCACATTTGTTGAGTGTCTATCTGAACACGGTTTTCTTTCCATCCCAAAAATTCAAAAACGTTATAAAGTAATTTTCTGCTAACCGCATCCATCCCTTTTTCTTTCTTTTTTTTCTTAGTTTCATCTTATTGTCTGGTTCATTTTATGTTTTCAATTTGGAAATAAAACCTTAGTTTTAGCACCTTTTTTTTGGTTAGTTTAGATATTTATCCCTATTTCACAGCAGGGTTGGCAAGATTTTGCCGCCGGTGGAAAAAACCATGGTAAATACCGGTAAAAACCGTCCTGGCAAAAACAGGTTTTTGCCAAGCAAATTGGCAAAAAGTGGCAAAAACCTATATTTTCCAAGATGAGAGGACAAAAACACATTTTTGATACAAAATTATTCCTAAAATTGAAATATAT